ATTTGATGAGCGTCTTGCTTTTAATCCCTTTCATGAAAATTCTGGGCCCCAGCCATGAGAACCGAACCTTCACCATGACAACCACAAGTTTAGGCATGTCCCAACAATTTCTCCGCTCTGCAAGTTTGTGTGTTGGAGTGTGTCTAGCTCAGCTGGTGAACACATGGAATGCTCACTATGCAGCAGATGATAATAAAGTGGAACCCAATGTCTGCTCTCCTCTCCACCCACCTACGTTTATCCCCTCACCTCTGATCCGTTTCTCTCAGCTATTTCTCCAGTTTTTTTCTTTCAATTAAACCCCGCTCTCGTTGTTTATCTTCTCCGCTCTTTAAATCAGGCAGACTTCTGTCACTTTGCTTTGTTCTCTCTGATTAGAGGCTTATAAAGATGGGAATCTGACTTTGTTTCCTTAGCGCGACACACCACACGCACCCTGTGGCCCAGTATTTGTGTGAAGTGGGGGCTGAGTGAGCGGCCGTTGCCACATTTTTCACATTTTTTCTCCAGGCCCTAAAGGTCTTTTTTTGTCCCAGTGCAGACAGACTGCGTCTAAGAAGAACAGGCCGTCATGCGGGAGGAATGCAATCTCCTCAATGTCAGAGTAGTCTACTTTTATCACGGTCCTACTTGCAAGCTACTTGGTTAATTTAAAGTTTCCATTTTTTTTCTCACTATTTTTAACAGATAAATTGTAGGACTATATCAGATTGGGACTAACATTAACCTGACTTTAATGTTGTGGACCTTGAAAGTTGTGTGCATGAGTGCTTTAAACCTAGAATGGAGTGCAGATTTATTGTCTGGGAACAAGAACTACTGATTCATGAGGTTACTTTGTTTTTTTTTAAATTGTAATTTCCGTTTTGGCATCATCTTTGTTTAAAAGATAATGGCTTGATAAATATTGTTTTATCATCTGTGTGCTTAAGATTAGTTTTATTAAATTTTAGCCTGGTAAACACCAGATGGTGGTTGTTATATTTTGATGAGAAGAGAGTCACCCTGACTCACTTCTTTCACCTGGAGACACGATGATCCTGAAAAGCACATCAGTGTGCTTTCATGCCTTCCTTTAATATCTGTCTCATGATGATCAGATCCTCAGATGCTGCTCTGAGGTGCAGTGATGAAACTTTCATCACTGTCAATGACTTGTAGCAGCTTGGATTTAGGAGTTTCTACTTTGTGCTTTTCTGAAGTAAACCAAAATAGAAATTAATGTATCTCTTAGATGCTGGGGAACTACAAGTGGCCTCTTCATGAGTTTTGGGCTTTCCAGCATGACAAAATCTATAAAAGTCCTTTAAAACATATATATTTTTTTAACTCTCACTTTGTTGGAAATTATTTAAAGGCATTACCACATGCCAGATGTACAAGACTCCAGTATACGAGTGTATTTTGGTGACTTGTATTACAGCCATGCTTTATTTTTAGGCAGTGATTCATACTTTTACTAATAAACTGAGATCAGTGGTGTGCATCTGCTCTGGAATATGTGATGATGTCATAAAAGTTAACGTAATCCCTGCCTAAACGCTCTCTAAGCCCCGACCTTCTCTTCTTCTTTCATCTCATCCATCCTCCTCCTCTCTGCTGATCCATGCTGTGCTCCTTGTCCCTCAATTTCCTCGTCTCTTCCTGTCTAATCTCTTACCCAGACTTCTCCAGACTGTCCTCTTGCTTGATATTCTGTCCTTCAGCGCTCGACTTTGGCTGTCTTCGCATCCTCCTCTCTTCCTCTCTTGCTGCCATCAGCTCCCCCGGCCCCCGTCTTTCCGTCTGTCTGTCCCCGTTAATCGAAAACAGGCGGTCAGACGCTGACAGGATGTGAGGTCAGATGGGGATAGGAAGTAACGGTACGTAGGCGGCACGGAAAAACAGAAGGGAGAAAGGACACGAGGGACAAAGAGCACAGAGGGGCATGTGGAGTAAGACCAGGAGGAGGTCGGGTTTCTGTGTCAGCCGTCAGCCTCGGCCCTTTGCGGTTGATGTCGATGTTGAACGCTTTAGCAGCTGGAATCAACAACCACAGCGAGTCCAAACAGTGAGCTGTGAGAGAACGAAACAGAACTATGGTTTATTATTAGTCTCCAGAAATATTTGCGTCTCCTTCCACTGTCACTAGCAGCGCCTGTGGGTTGGCCAGCTTAGACTCATCTTTCTGAATATTAGTGTTTTGTCTACAGTTGTTATGACCACAGCTGTTCACACAAGAAAGTCATTCACATTAGGCTCACTGAAGTCTGAACAATTTCATCCTGAAAACTGAAAGTAGTCGCCACAAAAGCAAGACGGAATCTGGGAAACAAAAAGCAAATTGCTGTAACAAAAGTTCAGTTGTTATAAAGAATGAGTGTCATGCTCTGATAGCAATTGATACACATATAAATGTAAAACAATAATTTATTCCTGGGATAAATTCAGCTGTTCTGTGAGAGTCGTACTAGTTTGTTAGAGATTAAACATTTATTAAACAGCATCCTAAAAACCTATCATGTGATGCAACTCTAAAGCCCTGAACGTCTCCCTCAGCATTGTTTAATCCATTGTTCCAAAATGGCAAAGAATTTGGCATAACCACAAGGCTAAGTACTTTGCCATCAATTTAAACTGACAGTTCAAGCAAGGAGAGCAGCTAAGGTTCCCTTTGTGACTTTCACATGAGTGAATCTGTTGACAGGACAACTATATTTGTAATACAATCCCCATACCCAGCCTTTCTGAAAAGTAGGAAAGTCTCATGTCACTGTGCTACAAAACATTTAGGAAACACATGGAACATGTGTTAGAAGGTTCTCTATATGAACCCCCTTTATAATGTGCTACATCATCTTTCCTGGCGAAGAAAGCGTCATGCTGAGACGATGATTTTTTTTTGCAGCACCATAGAAGCGAATAGGTGTTGATTAGACAATATGTAGAACCAAATACGGGGCAAGTTTTTGAAGAGAACCCTGTCGAGGACTGCATAAGACATTAAAGCATGACAATGAACCTGAGCATACATGCTGAGTGGCCTAGTCAAAGTCTAGATCTAAAGACAACAAAACAATCTGATAAGACTTGGAAAATTTATATTTACTTATGCTCTTTTTCTATTGTGACTTAGCTTAAGTTATTTTGCGAAGAAAAATGGGGAAAATAAAATAAAAAAAATGTTTGTACGTTGAAGGTTCCACAGACGACTGAGCCGGGGCAAACACAAATACACTCCACACATCTCAGTATTTTTGCTACTGAACGTTCTGAAACCAAAATAGTCCTTTTGAATTCACTTCACGATTATAACCAGCTTTGAAAAGCTCTGCATAAAACCAGAGAAATGTTACTATTCTTTGATACACCAGACCACGCCAGTCCTTTGCTGGGGTTTAGAGTCTCCCGTTTTTATTTCACAAGACAAAAATTGCCATTAATGCAAGTGGAGGAATGAGGACTGAAGTCCTGATTTAAAAACAGATCACTAATGAGCCAGTTTGTCATGCACTGGTGCAGATTTTGCACTTCACCTGTTGAACTCGTCTTGTGCTGCCAGACTCAACACACACATCCGCACACATGGCGGCTTAATTACACTCCTCCCGTTTGCCCATCACCGTTCATCTGTAACCTGATACCTTCACACACACGTACATGCACACACTGTCTCTCTTATGCTCTTGTTTTTAATTCCAACACACAGAGGGAGGTCACGTTGAGGTTGTACTTCCATGACATCATTGTTGCCATGAGTCATAAGTGAACCCCCAGGCAAAGAGAGGCTCTCACCCCCTGTCAGAGTGACTTGAACACAGGCACTCATACACTCTCTCTGTCATCACTTGCACTGAGTGTGCAGTAATCATAAATTCAGTTTATATGCATTAGAACATCATAAAATTGCTGATGTGCAGTATTGTACCACTCATGTTTTCTTTTTTATTTAAAGAAGGAAGCTGCACTGAGTGAAACTTTAAAAGCACATCAAGGCTCAGTTGTTGGAACCACCCATCATCAGTTTTTTTGACATTATCTTCTATGTTTGTATTGAGACAAATTGTTCAACATTAGGTTCTTATTGCTATAAGTCTAGCAGAAGCATTTTGTTATATTGGGGACTGTAGAGATTTAAACAGGGCTATCTTTTTGAGGCAGACTTTTGTAGATTTGCCGTTGTTCTTATGATTATTGTCCTCTTTCAGCCAGACTTCAATGGTTGCGTTTGAGATTAGGTGACATTTGACAGTAAAACGTTTTCCACAGTCAATTCCTTGACAGTGAGGCGCTCAGGAAGTTTCGTTGCAGCTAAGAAGTAAAAACTTTTCACCCCGCCACCTTCATGCTTCACATTACTCAGTAGCTTCTAACAGTAACTTTGTTGTCATCTTCTCTTTGACCAATTCATTTAGATGTTAAACATCAGGGCAATTTTTGGTAATACTCCCATCTGGACTTTTAAGAGGCAATTGCAAGCTCATGTTTCTTTGATCCAGTCTGTAAGATTTGCTGTTGCGCTTTGGATCATTGTCCTGTCCAAGGTTCAGCGGTCTGACAAATGGCGTCAGATTTGACTGTAAAACTTTTTGGCACACATGAGACCCCCAAATGCTCATTCCGTACTTAACTCCTCGGAGGTCCATGCTTACCCAAACAAGCCGACGTCCGACAGTATTTTAAATGACATATGGTGTATTGATGAACTCCAAATTGCTAGGAAGGAACTTTGCTACCCGTCTAAGATTTACGAGAGGTATAAATTATCTGTCAATGAATACTTGTGCTTTCTGTTGCTTTTAACCCACAAGTGAGTGTTTCATGCAAGAAAACTAAAGAAAGTTGTTCATGACCACCAACACTAGGCCCGTCTTAGATTGTGCTCCAGTCGCTTCAGGAATGAGTGTAGATATAATAATTTTCCACTAAAAACCATACTAACTCAAAACATTTCTCTTTTCCCAAAAGCTTTAGTTCTATTGAATCACTCATGAACATTCTGTGTTTTTCTGAATGATCAGATGGAGAAAGCAGGTCTCCTCTGGTTGGAAAACTTCCTCTTCAGAGATCACACAGGGGACAAACTTCCATGTGTGCGTACACACACACACACCCACACCCACACACACACCACACACACACGCACCCCCCCCCCCCCCCACACACACACACACACATGCTTGTACTGATTGTCAGAACAACCAGGGGCTTTCTGTAAATCACTTTTACACATGTCTCTTTGGACCCGCACTTTGATATACTTGCCCCTGACTCATTCTGGGGCTACCTAGCACCCAAGTACACATAAACTAAAATCATAAAATTAGAGTGACAGTCCAAAACCGCCCACTTTTATAGCAGTCTGTAATGCATTCAATTTTATATTTTTTTTTAAATAAAAAACTGACCGTAATCAAGAAATCAAAATGGGGAGAATTGATGGCTGTGTTAACATGGACAGTGACTGATCAAGGTGTGAGTAGGCAGGCCTAAAAACGACATTCAGTCACACCAGCTACATACAAATAAATATGTGACCATGGTGCAGATCGGGCTGTTAGGTGAGCAGTAAATGTTAACAGTTCTACTGATTCTACTTTAACATCATAAATACTTTCAATCACTTGTACTGTTATTATCCAGGCATCAACACGGTTGAGAAAAAACCTGAATTTGGACTGAATTTGGTCTGATTCATTTCTCAGGGAGCTTAACAGGTATGAGAGAGAAGAAAGAGATTAAGAAAGATCGTACAAAGCATAAAAATGTCAGGGTAGATTTAAATACGATTTTAAACATCATTTGCTTGCTTGCGAAAAATATGCAATTAAAGATCCTGTCTTTAGGGTTTTTCAGATAATTTAGTCATTTTAGAACAGCTGACAGCAGCACTGCTGCTAGACATTCTATTTACAGAAATATTTATTTATTCATTTAATTTTTTTGTTAACCAAAAAAAGCTCCTAAGTGACACTGTTTCTTGTGGCGAGTCATGTCAGTGTGCGGTCCTTCACAGAATCCCAGAATTAATTGGAGTCAGCATGCCGAACTAATGCGAGGTGAAGAGTCACAGTCGAATTACTCCGAAGTTGATTTGAGGAAAATGCATCCTGAACTCATTCTTCCCTGTAAATAGTGCTGCCGCGTCTCTCAGGAGTCTCTCATGCTTTTTATTGATAGGCAAAAATGATGGCGATAAGAATTGTGGATTCAGATTGAGAATGTTCTCAAACTCAAATTCTGACAGTTTAATGGGGATTGTTACTTATACAGCTTACACATTTTTTTAAACTATAGGTACAAAACACACAACATATTAAAATTTATAACTGAATTCAATTAAGTTGAGTTGCTTGTTTTAAAGTGCGTCATTCTTTAGACTTAGACTTAGACCTAGACTCGTACTTTATTGATTCCTTGGAAAGACTCCCTCAGGAAATTGAAGTTACCAGCAGCTTACAGGCAGAAAAGTGGCACACAGTGCGCAAAATACAAAAGAATATAACAAATACAAATTAAATACAAAGGTACACACTAAATGTGAGTAGCCAAAACACTAAATTAAGCAAAAATAAGTAAGGAATAAGAATATAAATAAAATATAAATAAAAAATATAAATACAACACCACAGAAAATATAGGAATTTGGCAGATAGATTGACTAGTGATATGATTGCACTATATGGTTTGGCCTGATAAGTATGGATATTTGCAGAAAAGTACAAGGGGTCACTACTCCTTCTTCCCTCTGTCCTGTGTCACCTCCCACCCCCCAGTGAGGAGTTGTACAGTCTGAAGGCGTGGGGGACAAAGGAGTTCTTGAATCTATTGGTCCGGCACTTGGGAAGCAGCAGTCTGTCACTGAACAGGCTCCTCTGGCTGCTGATGACGGCGTGTAGAAGGTGGCTGCTATCGTCCATGATGTCCAGCAGTTTGTTCAGTATCCGTGCTTATAGGAATCTATCTCTATGCAGACGCTGATGTATTGCCAACGAAGCTGGGATACATTTTTGAAAATTTTTGTTGTTCCTTTTATTTTTATTGTAATTAAATAACCTAAACTATCATGATATCCATGCCCATATTGCAGATTCTCATAAATGGATCACTCAGGATGAATGTCTGTCCCAGGTGTGTCAGGGGTCAGTGAGGCTCTGCATTTGATGGACAGGGAATTGTTTTGGGAAAACTGTATGTTTTCTCAGGGAATAACTCCTTTGATTACTCTGCTTGTAAGTTTTCGTAGTTATTACATCTAAATACATAATTCAGTAACAGAATAATTACACGTGACTTTGTATTTACAATCATGTAAATCTGAAGCTGAAGGAATCGTGCAGACGTCACGTGCTGTGTAATTATTCTCATGTGTAGGAAGAATTGATTCAAATGGTGCGTAATAGAGATTGGGAATAGTTTGTGAGAAGAAATTACTTTGAAATGATGTTTCCATGTACAGAGAAGATTAGTCTTTGCAAAATATTAGTCATGATGATGATTTTTTCTTTCTTTTTCTTGCTGATCCCCATTTTGTGTGTGCTGGGCCGGTAACTGGTGACTAATGCTTTTCAATGGAAACTTGGACAATTTAGTGTGTTTTTCCAGAGTTGTGTACATCACAACTTGTAGAAAAGAAATATGAGCATGCTGAGGAAAACAACGTGTTGCATCACCACACCATGTGTGCAGACGTTCCAAGGAATTTGGGTCTGTTTTTACTCTATTTTAGGCACCTCCTTTGGGTAGTACTGATTGTGTTTGTAGTTTCAGTTTTAGTCCAGCAGTGTTTAGATGTACAGTGCTTTTCAAAATGTTTTACCCTACACCCCTACCCAACCATTGTATTGGGATTTTACGTTATTGAACAACAAAGTAGAAAAAGGAATATAATACAATACACGTCTTTAACATTTTTTTGCAACCCCCTTTACTCTCAGACCCTGAAATAAATTCCAGTGTATGAAACTGGAACATTAAAAATCTACCAAGGCATGGTTGTCCAATGAATCCGACAGAAAGGGCAAGCTCCGCATTAATCTAAGAAGAAAGCAATTTCTAAAAGTAGGATGTAAGGAACCATGTTTTCATTTTGGGAGTTGCAAACCATTCCAAATCCTCTCTCGATGAATTTATGTTAAACTCATATAAAATATATTGAAGTCTGTGGTTGTCATTTGTAATGTGAGGAAAGAGTTTAAGCGTTGTGAATGCCTTTGTGAAAGACTCTTAGCATCAACAGCTTGTGTCTTTTAGAAAATCATTTCTACAATTCAAACTAACTTTGTTTGAATTGGCTTGAAAACATGTTTGTTGTTCTTTATTTATGATTTTCAAATAAGAAATGTAAAAAATATAGAGGCTTTGTTTGCCAGATGTTGTTCCTAATAAACCTTTGGCAATATCGTTGCAATTTAGTTACATAGACTCCACTTTATGAAGTGCTTAGCGCAGCATGTTTATGGTAATTACTCTGTTTTTCTTCTTTCTGTCTCCCAGATCATGATTCAGAGGGGAAACGTGTTCAAGACATGCTGTCTACAATCGACAAACCACAGGTTGGCATGAATACGGCTTTAAAATCCTGCACTCTTTTGCACACGGAAGCAGACATGCAACCACTTTCATCAATCACCTCCTTGTCTGATGCAGTCATCACCAGCACGAGCACTAATGTCTTTTCAGTGTGTGGATCTCTTCACTGCAATGCAAATGAAAACTAAACGTTATACTGACAATATTAGCAGTTTCTGCCACAGCAAATGATGATATAAGCTGTACTAACCATGACCACACGAGGGCAGCACCTTCCCATCCATCCCACTGAGTTTCTATTGCAGCTTTATCGGCTCAAGAGACTGAAAACTGAAGCGTCTGGTTTTTTGATGCCTCAGGGGAATTTCAGATGAGCGAGCCTATGTTGTGCAAGCACAGTTTGGGATAGGAAAAAAACAAACTGCTTACTCTCATTTGAGAGTTTGAGCAGCAGGCTGTGCAACTGGGTCATTTAACATTGTCAGTTTATGACAGTGATATTGTGAACTAGATGGATATATTTATGACCTACTGTGACATGAAGAGAAAATGGTAATGGAGTTAACTGAGAAGTATTTGGGATTAAAATGCTGTTTACCCTGTTTAACCTCAGATCCCACCTGCAGCACATTGTTCTCAGACTGTGAGTTTTAGTTCATTTGCCCCACACAATCACTTCTAGTTCAGATACCGATTTGACAATACTTACTTTTTTTTTTAATTTAATCTTTGCTTTACGAGGGTACAATATGACCATTGACACATACACTCTGGGACATGTTGCTGACTTGAATTGGACATTTTTTTCTTTTTTGTGGACATCAAAAACTGTGACAGCTTATTTATACTGACAAGGCAGTCGGAAGTAGGAACTATTTCAGAGTGAAAAAGACTCAAAAGCGAGATACTTTCAGTGAAGCCGAGGCTAAAAAAGGCATGAATTTTTAACAAACGTGATATTGTTTTGTGCAGGTGTCTAACATCCAGGCGCGGGCTGCTCGGCTGTCCTGGGGCCTTCCAGGTGGGCTGGTGAACAGGCACAGCAACGGGATGCCTGTCTCATGCTCCTACGAGGTTTCTCTCTCAGACAAGGGAAAGGACGGAAAATATCGCCTTATATACAGGTATCTAACTAACCTAATGCTAAAGCGATCCAGGACATGCGTTTCTTACACGGCACGCCTATGGTATTGATGTAACTTTTCTTATTTGTGAAAATTTCAGTGGTGAAGAGTTGGAATATCATCTGAAAGATCTAAGGCCAGCGACAGACTACCACGTACGGTAAGGACTCCAGCTTTGCGTCAAGATAGTCGGCTGTATGTCACAGTTAACTGTCGTCCTAAGCTTTGGTGCAACTGGTTGTTTTCAGGGTTTCAGCATTGTACAACTCGGTTCGAGGCTCGTGTTCAGAGGCCGGCTCGTTTACCACACACTGCAGCGTCCCTGATGTCCCGTTACCCCCGAAAGTCTCTCAGCGCACAAAGACGAGCCTCAGTCTACAGTGGAAGGTACAGCAGAATAACGTGTGCTAACATAAGAGCTTGTGTACTCTTTCACTTTTTCAGAAACACAATTTCAAATGTATCTTCCTCAGATTTTACTTGTTGCACCAACACAAAGAAGTCCACACACATGAGATGGCATGAAAATGAAATATGGTTCCAAAAAATCCATCCATGTTTGCAGTTTTTCCCACATTGATTGTGACCAGCAGCTGTTGTGTCAGCCGCCTGGCTGCTTTCCTGATTAGCTCTTTCCTTGACCGGCTTGTCAGTTTATGTGGACCGCTGTGCAGCGGAAGAGTTTTGTTGGTTACGTTAGATTTTATGTAGAGAATCAAGTGAGAGGAATGGACAATGTAGGCTTATTTGGGTCTGACATTAAACCCAAATAAAATATATCAGAGTAATATACATTTTACAAGACACCATATTTTACTGGTCTGCATAACTTTAGAAAACCTAAAAAAGATATGGAGAAGAAAATGTGTAATTGCAGACTTTATTCTTTTTTCTGATATTTAAAACTTGTCTTCCTTCCTTCTCCTTATTTCCTTCCCTCCTTTCATTTTTTCTTCCTTCCTTGTATTCTTCTTTTTGTCTCTCAGTCCTTGTGTCCTTCCTTTCTCCCACCTTTCTATCTTTTCTGGAATACATCCTTCTTCCAGTTCTTCTTCAAGTCCTTCCATTCTTACTGTTCTCTTCTTTTAGCTTCTTGCCCCTCAAATTGTTGCAGAATTTGCTGTTACGTATTAGGGGCAACTCTTCTTCAAAAGTTGGTCACTTTTAAAACTCTTCTCAAAGCATTTTTATTCCTTGGCCTTGAACATGCTTTGAGAATTTTGCTATCATTTCGATTTTATTGATTTTATATATATTTTTTCTTTTGTCCTTTCCTTATTTTGAATGTTCACTGATTTTACCTGTACAGCAGTTTGTCACAGTTCTTGTTGTAGTAATTGGTAGTTTATGTCATTCCTTATGTCCTTACTTTCATCTATAAATGTCCTTTTGTCCATAAATATGTTGTTCTATACAATTCTTTCATTTTTAGAGAACAATTGTGTAGGAACCCTGAGTAAACCTGTCTTTTATTCTCTAGACTGACAACACTGTAAAAAAAAGAAACTGTTTTCAGTAACGGCAACTTTTTTTTGCTTCTAATTGTTTATATTCCAACTAGATTTTATTAGCCCCCATAGCCATTAATCATTAATATCTGCCTTCACCTGCGTATTCACTGACCTCCCCTCCTGCCGAGGTAGTTTTTATGCCCCTCTCCCTCGTCACTGATAAACAGTGCCATCAATCACCCAGACAGGATATAAGGTCAATCACAAAACCACGGCAGGTATCCTATCAGCCTCATTGTCAGGGGTTTTCATCCTGGGATAAGCTCTTAATCTCTCTTTTCTCTTGTCTTCGTCTCTTTGTCATCCACAGCCTCCAGGCGACAACGGATCCAAAATCACAAACTACCTGCTCGAGTGGGATGAGGTTGGTCTGTCCTTACTTTCACCATTAAAAGCAGAAGAATTAATAAATATATTTATATAAAGAGCACATTTCTTGTAAGAGTATTGAAGGGTTTGGAATTACAGCATCAGGATGAGAGTCATTATTCGATCAATACTCTGTGTTGTCCTGTGTTTTGTTTTTGTCTTCACAGTTATTTTTTTGTTGTTTTTTAGTTTTTTTAAATTATTTTGTATGTGTTCATTTTTGTCCTCTGCAGGGAAAGAAGAACAGTGTTTTCAGAGACTGCTACTTTGGGAACCAGAGACACTGTAAGCTGACACGGCTGCAGCCAGCCTGTGGCTACACATTCAGATTGGCTGCAAATAACGACATCGGCACAAGGTACTGCATCCTGTTACTGAATATACAGATATTCCTTATACCGCAAATGCGCTGGCAAGCAAATTAATGTTCATGAAAATATACAATCAATGTATTATTGAAGACCAAGTATCTGCACCTGCAGGCTGCATTTTCTTTCACTTCAGGGTTCAGAAATCTGAATTATCTCTTTCTGGTGGTGTAATTTGCTTCAGCTTTTTAATTTAAAAATAAAACAGAGATGTGTTTCTTGTTACGTGTGTGCAGTGGCTTCAGTACAGAGGTGGTGTTCTACACCACGGGCACTCAGCCCCCTCTGCCCCTCGCGCCACGGCTGGTCAGGGCGGGGGTCTCCTGGGTGAACCTGGAGTGGGTGCGTCCAGAGGGCAGTCCCACCGAGGAGCAGCTCAAATACACACTCGAGATCCAGGAGGACAACACCGTGAGTGGCAAAAACAAAAACATTGGGAAAAAAAACCAAAACAGACACAATGAAAACCTCGATCTGTTTTTAGCAAACAAAAAAGTTGTTTAAGTTTTCATCTTTTTGTATGAAATTGTTCCAAATCTTATCTGTTTCTGTATACGTCTATCATGCCCCTCAAATCTCTGGGGTAGAGAAGAGGCAAGATTTCTTTTAGATAACTATGGATTTTAAAAAGCTTTAGCAAAAATATTAACAACACTCAAAGATCTTTTTATATTTTCAAACTTTATCAATCAAACTTTATATTTGTTGCGTTTATTGTATGCCCTTGCTAATATTACAAAAATGTAAAACACGCACAGACAAATATTCTGTGTTTTTCCCACAGGGAACAGATTTTTATCCAAAGTACACTGGAGAAAACTTGACCTGTACTGTACAAGGCCTGAAGAGAAGTACACAGTATAAATTCAGGGTAAGTGAAAACACTTTAAAATGCTTTACGTATTTGCTAAAGTATTATATTTCAAAAGATGTTGACCTTTTTTTTTCCAACAGTGATTTTAGATTAACTGTTTTGAACAATGATTCTGAATCTGAGGTACAAGTTACAGCTACTTATAATAAATCTTGTAATAAATTATTGTAAAGTGATTGGAAAATTAATTTGCAAATTTCATATGCAAAGGTTTTAAATTTCAGGCAGCTTCTTTGTTTGCAAGTATCCTTTGAAATCATCAAAGTTCACCAAAAGCAGAGCAACAACGTATCATTAAAAGTCTTACATTAACATAACATTGATGTCAAATATGATTGTATTTAAGCTTCTGACTGGTATTGCAATGCAACAATTCTGCCTCCTTACCTGATCAAATTTGTCATTTTTCCAATTAGAATAAAAAGATGTTCCAAACAAAAATCAACCCAGTCAATTGTCGTTCACTCAACATCTGTCAATCTGAAACAGAGTGTGGCATTTTGTCGCTAGAAATTGCCTGCAGTTTACAAAGGGGAAACAAGACAATTGAGCAGCTTTCTATCAGGTTCCCTAAAAGCCCTGATGAAAACTGTCCGTAATGAGGGGCACTGTGAAACATAATGTACCAACGGTACGTCTCTGTAAGTGAGTTTGTATGTCCTTTATGGTGCAATCATCTTCAATAACACTCCCAAATGTGCTTTCATGCAGACGGGTAGATAAGGCTTCTGATGTCTGAGGACACAATGACACATGGTCACGTAAAAGAGGCGATTCAGGGCTTGTTTGCACGCATCCCCACAGTATTTTTCATCTTGTGTGAATGTATGGGAATAAAAGAAATTGATTATCAATTGGAAGGGCTGGTTCAAGGGAGTACTGTAAGGAGATAAAAGCCGAGAAGAGCAGGTAAAGGAAGCAGATTGTAATGCAAGCTATTTCTCAGAAGAGTTGCTTTCCCTTTTGATAAAATTCCTCCCTTCGTTTACCCCCTAGACTTGCTTTATTTGTTCACCATCCTTATGTTCATTGTATAATCGCTCGTTGCCAGGCTTCTCCCTCCTTGTTTTAACTCTCCGTTCTCTCCATTGTGCTCTGTGCAGCTGATTGCGTCAAACGTGGAAGGAAAAAGCAGCCCCAGTGAAGTGTTGGTTTGCACCACCAATCCAGACAAGCCCGGCCCTCCGTCGACACCCAGGGTCACCGGAGTGACACCTTATGGCTTCACCGTCACATGGGGTAATTGTTGAACCTCTTTAAATATTCAAACTCGTACTAGTACAGTTATATGGGCATATTGATATATATGAAGTCCATGAGTCCAATAGGAATTACATTTATGCCACAATGAACCCTAATTAATAATTTATTATTATTATTATTATTATTATTATTTTCTGTATAAGGAATAAGACAGTATGACTGCCTAAGAGCAGATGTGTGTCAGCATTCCTGTTTTGTTGCAATAACTGGCAGTAGGGTTTTACATTTGCCAGCAGTGGAATGTTTGTGTCTAACATGTGAGTGAATGGAAGCAGCAAAAAATCTCACTTTTCAACATCAGAAGTTTCCATTTTTTCCCCAGAAACTCTTTATGTTGACAAGTTTGCTGTAGTTTCTTGTGGTTGCATGAGCCAGGTTGTGTAGTTGTCCCTCAGATTTTATCTCATTTTAGTAATGTGAATTTGATTATTTCATATTTTGAAATTTGAACTGCTTATGGTTTTCCTAATCTAAAATATTAGGAAAGCATATGTCTGTTCATTATATGGATGAATAGACATATGCTTCAAACACAGCTATTTAGTGCAAGTTTCTCTGTCTTCATACTCTTTTGGTAAGTTTTTGTAGCCATTCCCATCTCTAATGTGTTTGTGGCTCACAAAACAAAGAGGATAAATTATATTTCTCATGACACATCTTGACTTTTGTCTTATATTGAATGCAATATGTACTATGATCCAGTGTATTCCATGATAATTAAAAGCTATTTATTAATTGCTCCTACAGATCCACCCTTGGACAATGGGGGCTCAGAGGCCCTCACTTACCTCCTCGAGATTTCTGAAGGATGCTCCGAAGGTATGTGTGACACATACGACAAACTGCTGTTTTATTTTTTAAATCATTTTCTAAATCTGTGTATTAGTATGAATTTTTCACTTTATAAATTGAATTAATAAATTAACCCACAAATATTGTTAGTTTAACAAAGTGTTGACTGTACAGCAGGAGTTCAGCAATCCTCTACGATAAGTCAGTCTGAACTTCAAGGATATCAATAGAATATTATAAACACGAAGCTATTATTTTTATTTAAGTAGAACATTGGATGAAAACTGTAAATTCTTAACATCAAAAAGGATTAAATGATTTTTAAATAGAAGCAGATGTTGAGAATCCATTAATTAAATATTTAGGAGAAAATTGAGCAGTAAACATGCGACCACTTCCTCCAATTAACATGAAAAAATTATATTTAATTATCTCAGTTTACATGAAAGCTGTTATGTGCTTCAAGACTTTATTATTTTTTTTAAAGTGCTACATTCACAGGCATTTCACAGCATGCACTTCCCATTAACAATTTAAAAATCCGACTCGCAAAAAAGAAAACGTCGTGTAGGCATAAGCAGGATAATGTGACGTTGGGACAATATCTGTGGTCTGACTACAAAGACAGGTACTGAACAGCAGGGGATTAATTGCAATCTTCCGCATGAATGTGACAAGTGTTGTAATTATGTGTTCTGCGCTGTGTGTTCGATGCTGAGCAGCGAGCCAGTGGGAGGTGGCGTACAGCGGCCCTGCAACTGAATGTGTGTGTGAGCGGCTGACACCGGGAACCGTTTACCGCCTACGTGTATGTAGCATCACCACGGGAGGACACAGCCCGGTAAAACACACACACACAAACACACACACACACACTACTAGATTCAAAACACAATTGCGGCCTAACTCCATAAAATCCCAGATCCACGTTGGCTAAAAATGAGCTTTGGTTATTTATTTATTCATTTTTTTTAGAATTGTGCCAACATACTTACAAGCAATCCTTTCACATCATTGTCTTAGCAGTGAAATCGGACATTAATTTCTTCTTTTTTTCTTTTACAGTGCACTGTTTGTGTTCCGGTCCGTACATCAAGTGTCCCGCCAGGACCCTGTCAGCCGCCGCGGATCGTTGGGAAAGCCAAACACAAGGAGGTCCAGTTAGAGTGGGGTGAGTCCAGACGGACACGTACGCGGCGTTTAGCTTTATTTACGCTTTTCACAAAAAGCAATGAAATTGCCTTCTGTGTTCTGCTGGCCAGCTCTAATATGAACTAAGTCAACCCCTTTTTAGCCTAATCGAGCTCCTATTTTGCCCATTAAAAGCCTAACCTGCCCCTCATATCCAGGCTAACTCTGGTAATGCCAGCCAATTATTGCAGATTAGTGCTGTTATCTGTTGGCAGCCAAAGAGGTTTGCAGCGTGGAGTGCTGAGGAAGTTCTTTCTTTAACCGGTCTGACACAGCTGGTCACATCTCTGATCAGTTCAGATGCAGGCAATGCTGCTGCAATTACTGGTTGAGTTGAAGGTCAGAAATAATGTGCCGAAGGGTATTCCCCTGGGGCCTGATCATTGGCCGCTTTCATCCCTCTGCAAGCAAACTGAAGCAGATGGCGCCTGGAAAAAAACTGCTGATCACTCAGCTACACTGATACAAGCAATCATAATCTTAAATGCAATCATAATTAATATCCTGAACATGCCACAGTAAGTTGCTTTACAGAAGTATTCATGTCCCCTGAACTTCACAAATTTTCAGATTACAACCACAAATTTCCATTAAGTTAAGGGACAAGGATACATGGTCTACAAATATTTTTCAAAATACAAGTTGTTCCTTTTACTTAAAAAGAAAAAGAAAACCCAAAGCAATCACAATATTTTCCGGACTATAAATCTCTCCGGAATATAAGTCCCGTCAGTCCAAAGAAGGCACAGATTTTTATCTTTCCAAACAATTTCTGTTCAGGCTATTTTGAAAAAAAATAAAAAAATAAAGAAGATAAATTTAGCCACAATACTTTGCAGAACTGGTTGACACCAAAACGTCTTGCAGCTGTAACTGTAGCTGAAGGTGTAAGAAATGACTGAATATAAATACTAAGTATTGGAGGCTAGATACAAATCCGTGTCATATGTTTCAAATTTTTGTTTGTATTTAAAGCTTTTAAATACAAACTATTATTATTTCACTTCAAAATTATATAATAATTCCCATAAAATACATTAAAGTTTGTGATTTTAACTTGATAAGGGATTATAAATACTCTTGCAAGGCACAATATATGTAATTTCTTCAAGGATTACTTCAAATTGGTTCAATTTGATCATATTTAAAAATGCTTCTTTTGTCTCTGAATTGTCCTATGATATGATTCTAGATTCCCCTGCCTGTGAGGGAGTGTGTGAAGAGTGTGTGTACAGCCTGGAGATGAGTGAGGGCGAAGCAAAGCCAGCAGAAGTGTACCACGGCCCGGAGCTGCAGTGCACGGTTGCTAGTTTGCTTCCTGGTGCGACGTACAGCTTCAGGCTAAGGGCATCCAACGAGGCCGGGGTGAGAAATTCATTTGCTTATCGCTTATGTTGGCAGCAACAAAAGTAATAATATAGTACACATTACATTTCTATGAAACAGGGACCTCCAAGGCAGTTATGTGCATGATTTTTATGCATTTTATGGCTCTTTTTCTTATCTCCATTTTGTTTGTTTATTCAGCACACTGGATCAATTATAGCTTATAAAATAATAAGAAAACATGCCAAAGAAGCAGGGTTTCATGTTATTTCATCCTACTTTCCTAGACAGATTGCCCAGTGTTGTTCTTAGAAGCTTATCACTTCCACAAGGTGACTATAAGGCCTGATTGATCATCTATTGATTCAAAGGTTGAATTTGTTCTGTTATCTTCAGCCTTTACAATCTTGTAAGCTATTTTTGTTTTCTGTCCAGCTAAATAACACTTGTTTAAAGTTGCATGTTACATGACCTTTTGAAAAAAAATAGTTTTCTTTTCAACCTAAAAACAAGAAAAATATAACAAAATAACACTTGTACTTTTAGTATCATCATTTTGTGAATAAAGGAAAACAGCTAAACCTGCCTTTGTTTTCATCTCTGTATTAAAATGCATTAGTTGATTCTTTATAAGTTTTAGCCATAGTTCTCAAGAGCTATTGCAGAAAGTTCAAGTTGCAGGCCTTTGGACAAGTACATCAAAACACATTAACAGATAAAAAGACCAGCATGTACATGCTGCTCGCATACTTGAAGTGAACTGTGAGTCTTTTGTCAAAATGAAGCCTAGGCGTAAATTCAAACTGGAAGACTCTTTAGCCCCACCTGCATCATCCAATCGGCACATCCCGCTAATCCCCGAAGACCTATTATCGCTGGACCAAGCCATGTCACGGCCAATCACCGACCACGCCCCAGTTGATAAGTACGTTCATCCCAGGCGTCTTCCGCTTCGCTGCTGCGCTCAACCCACCTCCACCCCTTCTCCACCTCCACTGTCCTGGCTCTCCAGGCATACTTCATTCACCGACCTCTACCACCAGTATCGGGTCCTGGGGGATGACATTCCTATCAGCATCGGGAATGCTTCTCTGAGCTTATCACAATCACAGCTCGATGTCCTTAGCCGAGGCCCGAGCGCCAAAGACTTAATTTATGCACATCAATAAACTTTTCTAATCGCTTTCTTTCTGTGTCTGAGTCTCTCCAGATTGAACTTGCGTTACATCAGTTCCCAAAATGTTCAGTGTGGCAGTGTGTAAATGTCAAAAATGTTTACGTTTTAGATATTTGAAAAAGCAAACATTTTACTCTTTTGATCCAACATGGGGGGAAAAAAAGTATAAAAACAATAATTGATTATAAATTTTGAAAAATATATATACATGTTTTTGTTGCCGTGTGTCTTTTAGTTTGGGCCATATTCTGAGCCGACAGAAGTGACGACTGCAGCTGGACCTCCTGGTCAGTGTGGGGCGCCACTCATCACGCTCACAAGTAACACCTGTGCGACGCTCAACTGGGAGGTGAGGAAAATGCAACCACAGAACTTAATAAGCTAAGAAGAACCAACCAGATTGGTTTCCTCAAGATTTCTAAAGATAATTGGAATCTTCTTTTTATATCTTTTACATAAAAAGATATAAAAAGTGAAGTAGGCAAAGTGAAGTATGCAGAATTCTCCTTTGACTTTCAGACCCTTTTTTTATCGATTTTTCTCAAGAATGCAGCAAATGCATCAGAAGCAGCCAAGTATGAAATTGCGACAAGGATCACCCAGCAATGCTTCCATCATAATCAGACGTTTTTCCATTGTCTCACGTCAAAGACACAAAATAGATGGAGAGAGAGCAGATTAGTAGGTCAGCAGCATTAACTGAGCACAGAGTAGGAGGGATGAAATGCAAACCCAACATATTGGGACTGTCAACAGACAATTAATTTTGACTACTTCGATACATACAAAGTTAAATAAAAGTAACGATGGCTCAAGTATGCAACCAAGTGGAATCCCATGCAAATGTACTTCCTGGACTCAGAAAACACACTCTGGTTTTATTGGAAATAACTAGCCTTGTCCCTTACATCCACTGATGCTTATAAACGAAAGGTTAATTTGACTTGAAAAATCACGCCACTCATACCAGGCGTCAGATCTGAATAGGTTAATGTCAGGTTTCCAGAGGTTCCATAAGTTGAATGCGTGTTTCTTTGTGCTGCAGAGCCCCGAGGGTTCGGGGTCGGACATCTCAGAGTATCGACTGGAGTGGGCGAAGGAGGACGAACCCTGGGAGCTCATTTACTGTGGCTCGGCCACGCAGTGCGAACTGTCAGACCTGACGCCTGCTACGGATTACTGCTGCAGGCTACAGGTAACAGAAAGAGAAAACTGCACTTGCATAGTAAATCTGTGGACACAACAGAAACACAAAGAGGCATGGGCAAACGCGGGATCAAGGAGGGAACCGTGCAGAGGCTGGACATAATTGCAGAAACCTGCACAGCATAAGAACCCCGAAGGAGCTTCAAAAGCATAAACACAAATAGAGACTGGAGACAAGAGATGATGGCCGATTCAATTTGTGCTGCAATTCTTAATCAGGCGCATAAATAACCACAGTGTGGTTCTTTCTGTGTGTGTGTATTTATCTGACGAGCGTACAAACACACACAAGGACTGACATAGGCCTCTGTAGCTTTGAATCCAATAACAGCATGTTTTATGGTTCCCTTCTTTATTGGCTCATTTATAACACTGGGACATCACAAGGTCAGCTGGCAGTCAGCATCATTGCCTGTGTGCTCATGTGATATGTTAGTGAGTTTCTGTGCATTACAGTATGTGCTTTGTGCTAACTTGTTCCACTTTTTAGTTTCTCAAGAGAACATGCAAGAGAGAATCATGGCAGACTCTAAATTCAGTTGATCTTACATGGAACATGGTGTTCTGTCTTTAAGTGAGCAATAAAGGAACAGTCAGCAAAAATTAGTAGCCTCTTACTCCTTTAAAGTCTCTTCTTTTTCTATCTGACACTTAAATTGTCTAAAGTTTTTCAGCTCAGTAATGGTGAGAAACTCAGTCTTTTCAAGCTTTTCACATTGCTACTTAGTGCTTCATTATGTGCCATATGGCAAAAGGTTTAATACTTTCTTTTTTCATTTTGATTTGAAACAAAATTGTCACAAAATTGTGACATGCACTTCCATCAGTTCCCAAAAAGACCAAAACGTCCAGCTTTGGTCTCATTTGACCCTTATGTGGATTGTTGCTAACTTTACAATACTTATCTTTCTCCTGAAAACTTGTCTGCTTTTTAATTGTTGTTTGCAGATTGTTTGTTTGTTGTTAAAGAATTGAAAAAAAAAACCCATGAATTTTCGTTCACTTCAAAAATGCACCTCTTTCTATCACATACTATCTCAATATAACACATTGACATGGTAAAAGCACAAGAACAGAGATTATCTCTGTTGGTCTTTCTTTGTGTATTTTTTTTTTGTTTAAACTTTCAGAACTTTTAAGTTTCAACCAGAAAAAAAATATATCAAAATAAAAACATTTTGCCCTGTTTCAGCTGGCCAATTTATTTTTGCTTAACCTTGTTTGAGACCGTTAGCTGGACTATAATGAGCTGCTGCAGGAAAATCCAGGTGAATATAAATATATGTTAGACACCTCTGTAATTACAAATAAGCTGTTTGATCATCTGAATTCATCCAGTGGCTCACTTTAAAGCTGTGCATTTCTTCAAGACATTTTTGACATTCACCAGTGATAGTAGTATTCTTAAAATATCACCTTTAACAACTTTCCTCATCAATAGCAGAGTCATCTCTCACTCACAGATATTCCCTTGATGGTGTTCATCTCTCTCATCTTCCTGTGCTTCTGTGTTTTGCTCAGGCAGTGAACCAGGCTGGCGCTGGTCCATACAGTGAGAGGGCAAGTTTCTGGACCCCGGCGACGCATCCCGACCAGGTCTCGACCCTCACTCTCATGGACCTCCCGACGTCCTCCGAGGCGGGCTACTCCTCGTCTACTTGCCTCCTCCTGAAGTGGGAAAAGCCAAATAGCAATGGTTCAGAGATCTCCTCCTACATCATCTCTGTAGACGACCAAACCGTCACAGTGGAATCGGGGACGAGTCACCTCATCACAGGCCTGCAGCCAGACACTGAATACAGGTAACCATTCGCTCCAGACCTTATGCTGCAGAGGCCTGATCTCAAGTAGAATTAGCACATTCATGAGTTGTCAAGTTTGGCATGAAATACTGTTTTTAGTCTTATACTTTTTCCTTATTTTTGGTGTGTACAGATATGTTTGGTGTGTGATTAACCCCAAAATAATCTTGGCTACTACAGATTTATTTATTTATTTATTTTTGGAATTCTTGAAAAACTCCATGATGCCATTTAAATCACACAAATGCACTACTGCTACCGCTTAATTTCCACATTGCTTCTCAGATATTGCAGGAACGACGTAGTAATGTAACCACACGCTGTGCTATGTTCTGTCTGTGCCAATGAATATCTGGTGTCATTCACTAGTGATGTTGCTCCAGAAAGGAGAATTCAATCTGTCTTCTAATTAAATTAAGTTAATATTTATTTGGAACATTTACCTTTCATTCCCAAATGGCCAGGCAATAAAAGCATTTATCACAATTACACACTCTTTCGTACCTCGGATAGGTGACAGGACTTGATGTTTCACACAAATAGATACATCTAAAATGCATTAGTCGATATGCTAAAATTAATTTGAAGATCAGAAGGGAGCTCTTAGAAATCAAACTAAGCAGATCTCTTTCTTGCGCCATCAAGTAGTGACCTTTGCTTGTGTGAACAGTTATAGCAATCGAGAGACTTAAAGAACAAACTTTTCTTTGTCATGCTAACACTGATAACAGGATCTGGTATGTGGCGATTGTGCAGCGCTGCCAGATTGATGCATGGACATGTCATAAAGCTTTTTGGAAGCCCATTACTTGTTACATTACTTTGCATTTGGGTTAACGATTTGTAAACCATCTGCTACTAGGCTTAACTGGATACTGTAGGAGGTATTTATAGACAGAATCTGAAGGTTGCCTGTTTGGTATTTTCATGAACTGTGATATGACACTTCTTGTAACCAAGCAGCAGTAAACAGGTACTTAGTCATCTGTATTGCCAGCCGATGTTGTGATCCTTCTATGCCCTCCCATCCCCCACCTGATGTGCACATGCATCAGTCATAACATTATGACCACTGACAAGTAGGACTACTCAACTCTTCCTTACAAAAGTAATTTGTTCCTTAAAAGGAAGGCAAAAACTGGTAAACACCTCAAAGCCCTCTGTCAAAGGAATAGACAGATTATCACATAGCTGTGATAGTTAAAGAATCAGAAAACTCTACATCCCCACACCTTAATCTGTCAAAGCGACTTGTTGCAAAGTGTTTGGTAAGATCTGATGCCTGGTCATCATGCGAAAGCTGTGTGTTTTTGGGCACACACATATAATTGTGGTGGCAGTTCTTAGAATTGTGATAAAAAAAACAACAACAAAACAAAAAACTGAGAAATAATCTGCAATGAGGTGGAGAAGAGTGAACAGGCCGGATAATCACACACCCCACTGTTTTCACTCGGAGGTTGTTTTTGTCCCCATGTACCACCGATCTCTTACATAAGGGCTGCCGCTGAGCCAAAACACAGCGCATCTGTTTATTTGAGGGTGAGTGTACCTGTGAGTTGTTTTCTGGAGGCCGACAGATTGTACCTCTTGTTGTTGCAGACACGGATTGTGTAGGTGCTTCATCTTTTACTTGTACGGCCTTGCGCAGCGCCACAATCAACTCTTTCTCTGACAACATTAGGGGTCTCCTATGACCATATTTTGGGGTTTTCTCTTCTATTTTTGCCAAACAAACAGTGCAGATTTCCAGAACAAAGCTCTTCTATTATTAAATTTATTGGAAAAGACTGGTCATTACTAGTTTTTTCATACCTTTGCCTTAAAGATTTGAGCCTCTAAACATCAGGTATGAAAGCCTCGGGTCTTAGGTGTTCTCTCGTTGTTTCTTCTTCTTCCTCACAACCTCTCATCACAGTTTATCCCTGTGCTTAAAAGCCCAGTGACTGAATAATTGTTGCCCTTTTTCTTTCAACTTGACTTAGCTGCAAGAAAAGGTTACTGTTATGAAAAATCAACGGTTAAATGTCAGAACCTATATGGCCTCTAGCACAGGTGCTAATCAGCTGGAAAGACATCGCAGGACAAGGAATGAGGAGATTCTTAGAAGTGAGCCGCAGAGGAGTTGGAAGAAGAAAAATCTATTTCTTGGTTCTTTTTAATTAGCTGTGATTACGTGTGTCTCTGTGCTCTTAGATCCTGGCAGAGTTTTTTTATTTTTTCAAGAAACAATCCTGATGATTACATTACACAAATTCTCTGTAACATTAAAACTAAAAAATAAAAGCAATCTGTCCTTTTCCACTCATAATGTATTGCCCCTCTACTCCCCCCTTATTTTTTCTTATGAGGACATTTATAGAAGAAAAGTGGCCAGAAATGGTTGGCACATTTGGGCTTCATGTTGGAGAGTGCATTAAGTTGTAATAGGGGGCTGATAATGGACGAAAACCTCTTCACAGAAAATTTACCTCGCCATTAGACAAATAGGGCTGCAGATACTCCTGAGAGCTTATAGGTTAGATGGTTCATATATTTCCCAACGATTCCATGTGCAGCTGCTGTAAGTGTATATTCTCAAGATATTTTTATGTTTCTATTAATATTTTAATGTTGTTTTTATTATTATTGGAGAATTTCCTATTAGAATATTTTTTCCCCATTACAAAATCACATAATTTCTACACATATTTTCAGACATTAATTTGAGGCCAATACAATAAAAATTATTTTATCAAAACAGTTTATATACATGGTTACTTAGAAGCTATACAGTGCAATAAAGCTTCTAAGTAATCATGATGGTACAAATTTAACTAACAACTTAGGTTCTTGTCCTGCTGTTTTCATGCCGAGCAGGTTTGCTGAAATGCTAGGCTAATGTTAGCATCTTTGCTCTCTGTTTTGATACGACTTGTTTATAACTTGATTTGCAACACATTTCCATGAATTTCTAGTTCATTGTATGCAAGCAAACCCTACTGTAAACTTTGTGCGCTTGCTTCGAAAACTTGATTTGTGTTGAATACAACAACACAAATACAGAAAGCAATACAAGCTTTCTGTTTCAGCTGTTTTCTGCACAGGCAATTAACAGAAATTTCAACAGCCAGTACAGCAAAGCTATCATTCAATGATCAACAACATAATGCGCACATGAAAATAGCACATGATTAATAGCCAACAGTTAGCTGTTAATCATTGATGCTGATTTAATGTTTCACATTAGATCTGTATTTAATAATACTGTATTTATTTTATTGAGTCCCCATAAATTACCTAACAGTAAATTTTCATTGACAGATTTTACAGTACATGATAACATCTCTCACCAACTCATTATTACCTTTCAGTCTGCAGATTCAAGCAGTGAACGCCATCGGCTTTGGCCCTCTGAGTCCATTGCTGGTAGCGAGGACCCGCCCCCTTCCTCCGGGCCCGCCCCCACTCGAATGCTCCGCCGCAGGCCCTCAGAGCCTGAAGCTCAAGTGGGGCGAGAATGCCGGACACACGCGCACCCTGCTCTCTGAAGACGTGGTCTACACATTACAAATGGAAGACAAGAACCACAGGTGAAGTGTATAAACCCACACACACACGCAGTATAAACACCCAGATTTATACCTGTGTTCGAAGTGATAACTTTTTCCGGTCATCTAAATCCATAAATACATTTGGTAAATTCATCAGTTGAAGGATGTGGGAATCTGGTTGTTCTTTACGTTCTGTTATTCGCTTTTCTTGTGCTTCGTGAATTACTTGCATTTTTCTTTTTTACGGCATTTATATATCATTCATGACAAGCGACTTCAGATAAATTGATGTTTTCCTTGTTTTTTGGCCACACTGCACACTCATTTTCTCCTCACCCCAGAGCTATCCAACACAGTAAATCAAGTCCTTGGTCAATACAGCAGACAGAATCACAGCAGGTTGAGGAGGCTGAGGGAACGTGAGTGTACACGTGTAGTCTGAGGTACTTGTGCAGGTGTGTGAGTGTGTGTGGGCCGACGACGTGTGTGTATGGCCACTAACTACATGTACTGAGGATTAATCATGTTGAGGGCATTTGTGACCAGCTGGAAAACAGCCTCCAATAATCAACCCTCCATTTAACCAACTGGCTAGACACTGGTGAGACAGAAAAAACAAAGAGAGAGATTATTAGCTGACCGAACAGGAGGGGAGAGTGTTAGACTCCTCTACCTGGCTGGCATTGTGTTGGCACCCAGGTATCTTGGCAACCCTGTAAGGGGACAGAAGCGCAGATGGCAACAGATGGGGCATATAGAACTGGCTGTGATCTGTTCACCTCTGCACAACACTCACTTTTGCATATAAATGACAGAACAAGCAATACAAACATGCACAGTCACATTTGCCGTCTAAATGGAAGCTGCTTCCATTGCCCAGATTGTTCTGTTTACCCTTTTCTGACTATCTTGGTGACTATGTGTTTAAAAGGGTGTTGAACTCTGTGTGCATAATTATTTGTACCAATTAAATATGTTCAATCATTAGCACACCACAACATTTACCGACATAAGTGATTTGCTATTGCAAGAAAAACACAAGGCTTATCAGAAAAATTGCACTTTTATTGAGTTATTTATACTAAATTATGCTTAAGTCTAGGGTTCAGTACTGCCCCAACGTTTTCTAAGATGTCTAAAATAGGTTATGTGGGCATATATCAATATTAAAATTACTTTGGAATACATAGTGATGTATTCTGAACCTTTTCTGGCATAAGTTTTGCAGCATATGTTTTTTTTCTACCACAATTCTTCCTTTCACAAAACTTTCCACTAAAAGTTGTATGTGAACAGCCAACTCTTTCAACAACAAGGTTTTGTGTTTTTCTATGTGGTTGTCTATGCGAGAAGTGATAATAGCCTTTAATCATGTGCTCTGTAGCATTTAGTTTTTTCCATTTCTACAAAATATTAGGATTTTCGGGAAACTAAATTATGGGTTTTCTTTAGCTGCAAGCCATGTTTACAACAATTAACACAAATGAACACTTTAAATATTTCACTTTTCTTGTAATGAATCCAGCTTTGCATTTGGATCAGAATGACTGAATTAAATTAACTTCTTATTATGTTATAATTTGAAATTTATTTGTACACTAGTGTCTAAGAAAGGAATGACCATAACGGCGCAAAATGTTGCAATTCCAAAGAATATTTCATTAAACCTAACGATAATGTTTTGATAAATTCAAAACATTATCAGAACATGCTCAGGGCCAAAGCAAAAATATTACATTCATGTTTGTTTTTAGGGCGCAGTTGGTAAGACTGTTTGTTGCCTTGCAGCAAGAAGGTCCTGGGTTCGATTCTCCGTGCAGGGTCTTTCTGCACGGAGTTTGCATGTTCACCCTGTGAATAATAAATGGATGGATGTTTGCTTTTATTATCAAGACGTAAAATGAAAAACAAAAAACAAACAACAACAGCAGGGGACACAATAAACATCTTACGCTGTGTCCTCCATGTATTTCAGAACTATTGTGTCCATGGGCTGGGTACCAATCTATCTCTGTGAATGGAATCTGAGGAGTGCTTTACTGAAATGGGAAGGAATTCAAAGTTTCTAAATTTTCAGTCTAGTCAGAAAAAATATTTTCCCCTCTGCAAAAACCAATAGTACAAAAAGTACTATTGGACAATTAAATGATTGCTCTTCCTCGTAGATATTAATAACCCAGAAGGCTAGATTATATACATATAATCAGAAGTTAATCTAACTCAGTCATTCTGATACAAGATACAAGTGCTATCTATATGAGGAAAATCTGTATTGATTTCTTTTGCACTTTTGATGTATTTAAATATATAATCACTATAGGTTCCTTTTGAAGCAAAATAGTTTTTACTCAAACTAGTGCCAAATACTCCATGTGATAATATGTTATTGTAATCAACAAAATCCCCTTTCTTTTGTCTTTTGGTCAGCATATCCAGAATCTGTTTAATATTAGTAAGTAATTCATTGTTTTTTGATACTCTTACATTGTTCGGCAAAAACATAAAGCGAGAAAAAAATGTGTTTCTGTTGCCCAGCGAATATAGATGAAATACCAGCCTGTCTAGAAACGAGTGAAATTCTTCTTTTTTTAATGGTATTTAAAGTTTTAAAATTATTTATCAGCCTATAAAACCTATAATTTTGCGTGAATGACATGAGATATTTAGTACAAAATTTTGAATTTGGAGTTTTCTGATAAAGTTAGCTCTTTCACATCCTTCTTTGCTCCCCAATCATCACGTTGCGTCACAATAAACTGTCACGATTGTTTTATTCTTTTAATATCAATAAGGCAACCAGATGCAAGATTCTCATTGTGGCCAAGTGCCAAAACAAGAAGGCTGTGAAGGCTTCAAAATGCAGTGCTTTGCAAACAAATATCTTGAATATCCAGCCAGAGTTTCTCCAAATATAATTTGGGATTTTCCATTAATCATTTTGACTTTGGCTGTCCTCTATAATGTCTTTAGCTATTTCTCTGATCGTCCTCTGATCTAATTCCTACTTATGAATCTCATTTTATCTGTTTGGATGCTTACAATATGAGAGCCTCCAGAGACATGAGAATCTGTTTTTCTATCTGTCTCTCAGCATATTTTTCCCTTGTGCATCCAGGCATGTTTATTTTTCTTTGACTGTATTAGACGAGACAAGTTTTGTCATATTCACAATATTTACTTCTCTCTTTACTTTTCTCCTCCTTCCAGTTGACTTTCCAATTCTTTTTCTTGTTTTTATTTTTTATTTTTGTGCACTTTTATATTTCCTCCCAGTGTCCAGTTAATTCCTTCCATTACTGCATGTTCCCTCATTTTTGCAATTCTGTTGTGTTTTCTCTCCATAAGAGCTTTTTTCTCTGTTTACATTTTCCATATCTGCGTTACCCCCAAAGGCCTTCTGTCAGGAACATGACGAGTTGAAAGGATGAGACGGTAATGGGTTATTGTACAGTTCAGAGGAGGATTAAACCATCCAACACAAAGGATTCTTAAGAAGAATGCAGGTGGACAAAACACTGCTTCAGCTGGGTCTGTGTTTGAACCGTCCATGTTTTTATCTATTGCCATTATTTATCTAAAGGTTTTACGCCTCCGTCTTCCTTCAAGCCTTTTAGAAGTTTAACTGTTTCTCGCCAATCACCTACTTTGTTGCAAATTTACAGTTTTTTTTTTTTTTATGTAATCAGTGTTTGTTTTGGCTGGATTTAACCGTAACTTAATCACAAAATCTACCTCAAATATTGATAACGCCTGTAGTGGACCGTTTTGCTTTATAAAAACTAGGTTTGTTGTTGACCCTAATTTTTTTTTTTTCTTAATGGAGACAAAGACAACCTTTGATGATGTAGGGAAGCTGTTTGTCCAGCTGGTGACTGACCGACTGAGAATACACAGGATGTGGTTTGCTTATAGAGATGGAGGTTTGGCAGCGCATATTAGATCTGAACTGCAAATGCATCACACTTTTTTCTAATGGCCAACCCCTGGGTGACAGGTGGATTATTTAAAGTAAATAAAAAAAGCTGCTTGCACACCCACAAGTGAGAGACTTGTATTTTTGTTGATAAACTTCACTGAGGATTTTTTCCACCAAAGCAGTTTTACTGCTTAACCACAGTTTATTCTAAAGCCAGTTTTATTTGAGTTTATACATGAAACCTTTTTGTTTTTCCAGTTAACTGAGAATCAAGTCATTATGCTGCTCAATATGCAACAATAGCTGCCTGATTTGTATCCCTACAAAAAGTAATTATATCACCATCTAAATTCATGAACTGGAAAATGAGATTTTTACATTTAGAAAATGATTTATAAACACCACCTGGCATTGTTTACTGTCAATATTTAAGATCAGAATCCAAATACAATTTATGGATTCAGAAGAAAATAATGTCTGCAAGCACTGCTGAGGCACATCGGCTCACTAAGCTGTGATATATAAATATATAAAAAGAACGACAGGACAATTTAATTTTATTGTATATTTTTGCGGTATAGGGCACTGACAATAACATACTTGTGAGTTATAGATTAATTTTGAGAAAACAAAATGTGAAAACTAAACACATTACAGCCAGAAAAGTTGCAGAACAAAACAGATGTTGCTATGACCGCACTTTGGCTCTGCATCAAGGTTGCTGTTAGCTACATTAACTGTGTGCTGGTAAATTGACCGAATTAGGCTGTAACACAAAAATAGGTCACAGCTCCTGAAAGATCAGATGATGCATCTATTTTCTTTATGCGTCTATATTTCCAACTAAAACCCCAGTCTGGTTGTATTGGGTAAGTTTTTGGGTTAGGGAACCATTTCAGCTTTGTGTGCAATAACTAATAACACTGCATATCAGCCTGAGAAAGTTGTACTCCAGCTCTCTGTAGTATAGCTAATAAAGAACCCATCTCATACTGTTTCTCTTTTTCTCTTGCTTCTGTTTCTTCTTTTCATTCAGCTTCTCGTTGCCTCTTGAATCTTCTTCCTTCATCATTCCTCTCTCACCCTCACATCTTATTCACACTGCCCTCGTGTAGCCCATCTTCTTTGTCCACAAGTCACTCGTCTTCCTTGTCCATCACTGTCTTTCTCACCTTTTCCTGGAAAAACTGATTGCATCGATAAATATCTCCTTTCCAGATTATATCCTCTTTTTTTCTTGACGTGCAAATGTGCTGATTCTCTCCTACATTCCTTCAGTCTGTTCTGCTCGGCAGCCTGGAATGTTTCTTCCTTCTATTCTTGGTTTGGAAGGCCTATATGTAAAGTTGTGGGTTTTTTTAAACCAAGATGGTGGCTTAAGATAAGCTACAATGTCTTACGATGGAGATTTGTAGAGATGTACAATTCTCAGGGATTGAAAAAAACATTGAATGGCTCTAGAGACCGTTAGCAACTACAACTTCTTTTCTTCTTTTCTTTGGTCAGAAATCTAAATAAAATGCTGGTTTAGATAGAGAGCATAATTGTTTAGGTAGAACATGGCATACCTGTGCTTATCTAAAGTAGCTGTTAAGAAGAGTCGTGTAAAGCTGACTGTCTTCTCCCTTTAGCTTAAGAATTGTTTAGGAAATGTGTTTCATTTTCTTAGTCTGGCAACTCATTGTCATTACTCCTCTGCATGTTTTCCCAGGTTTGTGACAATCTACCACGGTCCCAGCCACACCTACAAAGTCCAACGACTGATTGAGTCCAGCAGCTACAGCTTCAGAATACAGGCCTTCAGTGACGCCGGGGAGGGTCCTTTCTCTGACACATATACTTTCTGCACCACCAAGTCTCTACCCCCAGCAATCAAAGGTAAGCTTCTCTAAACCTTCCAATCAAAAGAAGCTGCATAACATGCCTTCTGTTTCAGGATCAAATGAAAAATACCAATCGTTGAGAACGTTACAGTTCATCTATCTGATCTTGTTGATTTGATTTCCAACTAAGCGAGGCTGCCACTGATTTGTTTTGGAGATTTCAAAAGAAAAGAAAAAAATCACCTCATGAGCATCACAACTTTTCCATGCAATGATGACATGATATTATCTCACGCACTGATGAACTATCACTCCCCTCAGCAATTTTAATTGCTTAAAGTGGATAAAAGTACTCAGAACATTCAGAATAAAACATTGATACAATAACTTTAACATTGATTATGATCAATGTGCACTTGTGTAGATTATTACTGCTTATTTAAAGCTTTTTTAATGTGTTTATTGGTTGGTTTTGTTATTTAAAAAAAACATAGTAACAACAATTATTCCAATTATTTGATGATTGGAATAATTTGATTTAGTTCTTGTGTTATATTTTCAAAACGCAATCAAAGCATGCATGTTCAGACATGTCAGCCATGGACTTGATCTGCATGTAAATTTATATCCATCAAGCAATTCTTAAGAATTGGAGGTGGCATGGGTAATATAATGGTAATCTTGTGATCACAAAAGTGTACAAAACTTTGTGCTGTTTTTCACAAAGCACTAGACATTACCAGTTTTCACTGCAGTGTGTTAAATTGTACTTTTTTCCAGAGAGAAAAATTACTTTTTGTGTTTTGAGGTTTGCATTAAGAGAACTCGAGGCCGTTTTAATTCAATTTAGTTATTGTAATTTTATTATTTGTTTTTTTAAACATTTTTGCAGAGTGAGAACTTTAACTGGCATGTTTCTAATTTTCTAAAAACCCTTCAATTTTCCATTCCGGCAGCCCCCAGGATTCACCAGCTAGAGGGGAACGTGTGCGAGGTGACATGGGAGACTGTTCCACCAATGAGAGGCGACTCTATGAACTATGTCCTCCAGATGCTGGTGGGGCGTGAGTCTGAATACAAACAGGTTTGTCTCTTTCCCACATAAAGACATGCATGCAACAAAGTCAGCTTAAAGGGTGGATCTGGGAGCCACTCTCTCTCTCTGGTCCAGAGCTTCTCTTTAATTGCTTGATTTTTTTTTTTTTTTCTTATTGCTTCGGAATTGGGTAGGGAAAATGTTTCTAATCTTTGGCGGTGATTTTTAATTTAGTCTTCCTCGGATGGGAAAGGACACATTCAGCTGCAAAATTGCAAAACACATACACCTGGATAGAAATTTACATATGGAAGAGAAAGAAAATTATGAAGAAAATGCTGACACTTTTATGTTCACTCACTTCCCCTGAGTGATGGTATTTACTAAGAGATATTGCAAGAATTTCAATGACTTGTGGCACAGAAGCAGCTGAAAAAGATTTTCAGTTCACGTTGAAATGTGACAGCTGTAAAGATGAGCAGAGAAACAGACATTAATATTCACCCTTGTGTCATCTTCTGTAATTGGATTACCGAAGGGCTGGAGGAGACGGCCGAGTCTTCCAGACCATGTGGATATCTGCACAACTGTTTATGTTTATTTAATTGTGCGAAGAGATCGGATGCATACTGATGGATTTTTTTTCTCACCAGAACGTTTATCCTCCTTGATGAAGTGTTCATCTCGGTCGAACGTTTTACCATTTAGCGTTTTAGCCACAAAATTTCATGCATTGGTATTTTACAGTATATGCTAAGTAATGCGTAATTGTGAGATTGAGGGAGTAGGATACAATGTTTTCAACTTGTTTTATGAATTTCCTTGTCTTATTTGTGTAGCAAAAGTCTCTGTATTCAACTTTTGCTGCAGTTCTGACCCGCATCCTCTTGTTGGGTTAACTTTGTCCAATCAGACTATAATTTTTAGCCCAAGTCTTGAAAAAACTCATTCTAACACCTAACGTAAACTGTTCCATTGTAGCTCCATCAGTATGTTTGAAACATCGTCATTCCCCTAGTTGAAATACTTCTTTCAAACTCCACATTTTCCTCTATATTTAATTCAATACACCTTGATATCATCTACGACACCCTTCTGTCTCCTGTGTTGAAGAAGATTTGGTAACACTTTATTTGAAGGAATGTGCATGAAACTTACATGAGACTATCATAAACATGACATAACACATATCACAAACGTGAAGGAGTCTTTTGTAAAGATCTGGGGTCTTGTGTGTTATTTCTAGTTAATTTGGCTCCTGTGTTGTTTTGTCAACACAATTATTGGTCCCAGCTGTCTTGTGTTCCTTGATTATTTTTTCTTGTGTATTTATACTCACCTGTGTCTTAGTTTCCCTGCTGGATCTTTGTTATAGTCCGTTGTTGTCTGTGTCTAGTTGCTCGTTGCTCACCTGAGCTTCTTGGCTTCGTTACTTGTGAGACATCGTCAAGCTCGCTTATTTCCACTTCATCCTGGGTCTGATCGCTGCCTCAGTCCTCATCTAAAGTCCATGCTTGAACGTCTTCATAAATATTTACAGCTGTTGTCATGAAGTGTCATTCAGCAAATAATGACACTATTAATGCAAAGGTCCACTAAAAGTTGCATTGAAAGGTCATCAAAAGTTTCGACTCTGCATTTTTCAGTAAATAATAAACCTGTTATTGCAAAATGTAATTAAAACCTGCATGAAAAGTCGATAAAAAATGTCAGCTTTGCATTAAAAGTGTCATTATTTACCGAATAACACTTTATGAAAACAGTCATAAGCATTCACAAAGACTCCATCGTTATGACAGGTGTTATGTCATGCTTATGCACACCCCTTCAAATAAAGGGTTACCAAAGACTTTTAATTGAAGTATATTTGGAAATTTAACATATGTCAATTCATATTCTCTTGTTTTTTTCACAGATTTTTAAGGGAGACGAAGGTTCCTTCCAAGTTTCCAGTCTTCAGGCAAACACAGACTATCGTTTCCGCGTTGGCGCCTGCCGCCAGTGCCGGGACACGCACCAGGAGCTGTGCGGGCCGCTGAGCCCCTCCTCCCTGTTCACGCTGCGCCGGCAGGAGTCGGCATCGTCGGGAGATCATAGTGCTTTGGAAACGGGCAAAGGGGCGGGCCTGATCTCGAGCGACGAGCACTTCGCGGCGCTGATTGTGTGCGTGTTCGCCGGCCTGTCCATCCTCATCGCCTGCCTGCTACAGTACTTCTTCATGAAGTGAGGGAATTTTTAACTATAGGATAGAAAGCGAAATCAAAAGAATAAATCACAGAAATGAACTTTTGCAAATGTCTATGAAAGAACAGAATGAAATCAAAACACTTGAGATGTACTTTTAAGGCTATGTATGTCGATTTAAAAAAACACATTTTTTTTGTAGTCAAAGCATTGATTCAGGCTTCTCTATTTTTCTTCTCCCTTTACCCATTTCGGTGTCATTTTCTTTTTACACCTCTGTCGGGTTTGTCTTTTTTGTTAAGGATTTCTGTTGAGGGAAGCTTCATCTTGGCTGTACCTCAGTTGGGAAAGAAAACTGATAATCAAGCCTTAAAATAAGTGTGAGCGAAACATTTGCTCCTCATACTGCCTTGCATGTTTTTTTTTTTTATTTTTTATTTTACATGTCTACATATTCAGTAGAAAACATATATATTTCTCTGCCGTCATTGCCTTACTTTTTGTTCGCTGCGGACTGTATTCATTCAGCCATATTCAAATGTAGGCCTTTAAAGCTTTAGCTTTTCCTACTTATTCAGTTTGTTCCTTCTCTGCAGGCTGTCGGTCAGGACAAACAATCGCCTGACTGAAACACACACTTACACATGCGAACCTCTGTACATGACCATGCATGCATACGAAACACATTTGCAAGGACAATAAGAAAAAAACAAATTTCCAATTCGAAGACGACAGTCATATCTGCTCAGCTTTTGCCAGTCAATCACTCGCACATTCGGCTACCAAAGTGAAGCAATCCGTTTGTGGTATAAGATGCTGCTATCCTGTGATTTCATAGTATCGGAGAGAAAAAATGGAAAAACATGTATTTTAGTGTGAAAAATGATGGCAAAGTAAGGTTGAAATGTTAAAAGGGGGAAGGAGTGAACTAGGTGCTCAAAGTTAGAAGTTCTGAGGTCAGTTTAGCAATTTGCGCTAAAAGGGATAGTTCAGATTGTTTAAAGTTAGGTTCTGTTAAAATTTATAGGCAGTTTATGTTTTCTTTACAGCAGATAACTGTCTTGGCGTTTCCATGTAGTACGAATCCAGATTAGTTGACCCTCGAGGCAGAAGCTAATGACTAGTCTAGGAGGGACCAAGACTGAAGCAGACTTCTGCTGTTTTTGAAACAACTCCGGTCTGGAAAAGAGAAGAGTGATTTATCCGAATGCTTTTCAAATAAGAATTAATAAAGGCATGAAATATGTGACAGTTTAATTGGCTCATAAGATAGGATGACAAAATGGCTAAAATGAAACAAGATGAGATCTTAGATTAAAACAAATATAAAAACAAGTTTCTTTGATTCTACAAACTGAAGTCCTGATACATTTCATCCTATGTTTTAAGGAATCTTTGACCAGAGTAAAGACCAGGTTTGGCCCATCTGTGTGTTGCAGTCAGCTAGCCTCAAAAATGCAAACTTTAGCTTCATGGCTAACAGACAAAAGCAGTATTCCCTCGGTGCTTACAGATTATTTTGAAATTGTCTATAATTATTTCCTTTTTCTACTGGAAACCCAAAATATTCTCATACAAACAATTCAGAAGTGACAGGACGTCTTAAACTTTTTTGCGTCAGAGTATTGTCAGCTACCTTGACATTGGTCACATCTCTCAAGCGACCAGAACTCAATCACTATTTTCAGTCTTATTTCAAAACAAGAATCTCAAATATAGATATAGGGGCTCGAGTCAAAAGCACTCGCCTTCATATCAGAGGTTTTATTTGCTTAACTGTCACCCTCAAAATGTCTACATGTAAGTCAATGGGTCCAAGAGGTCACCAGTCTCTTCATGATAGTTGAGTGGTTTTTAAACTAAAATAGCTCCAACATGTTGGACTTATTTTAATGAGAAATAAGTCGTTTCACAAGAAGCCAACGTTTATTTTCTGTGAGGTAGGAGTTGCTGCCATCGGTCTTACTGTCAGAAAGTGGCACTGAAAACAAAACATGAACTGCCAGATAGAAATTTGAAGAGAAGTAAAAAGTTAAAAAATTTTTGCAGTTTAATTGAATGGTATTTCATACATTTTTACATTCAGGTATATATTCTTTAAACCTTTCGGTCTTGTGTTCTACACTAGAAGATAATCATTGGCGCACTGCCTCCAAACTTCTTTTATTCTGCAAAATTGCGTATGTATAAAGTTTATCTCAAGTTTAAAAGTTAATAGATCGTGTTCCCATCAAACACTTGAGTTTTTATTTTTAGACTGGAGTTGTTTTAAGACAAAGAAATGCGCGCAAGTCTATCCTTTGTTGGACTAACAGTTAGCTTCCGCCTCCGGGACAGCCTAAGCTGAGTTTATGCTAAATCTACGTGCCAAGAGACTTAATGTAAGGTATTAACTGCTTCTAATCTTTGGACAGGACCTCAGCATTCTTTTAAATACCACTCTTAGGTCAGAATCTGGACCTTATGTTGGGCATTTGTTGACTCCAGGAAAACTGGCTGGGATCGCAATTGCCTGTTGCTCTTCTTAGGAAGGAGTTGGCCCAGCACGTTTGATCCTTTGTGAGATCCTGGGGGTGAGGGGGTTCTACCTTCTCAGATGTTATAACTTCAACCTCTTTTTCTGGAGCGTGATTTTAGGATAAGAGGCGCTAGCAGCGTGTCTGTGACCTTCTCTAAAATCTTCATTTGTAATCTGGGAAAAGCCCATTAGAAGTTAGCTTGGGCTTTGTTCTCCAGACATTTAGCACAAACGCTGAAGCTGTTCCTCCTTTTAGCACGTCTGTGAATCAATACATTTAAAGCCTCTTCCCCTCTTTTTGCATCTCCTGAATATTTCTACTTAATTCCCCTTCTTTTGGCTCTAGCTACTTCTTGTCTGCTTTCGATCTATTCTGTCTCTCTGCTTCCTCCACATCTCTTACTCTTTCTCTATTAAAAGGTGCTTTATTGACATGTAATCAGAGCGGTAGCAAGTCTGTGATCTCTACTCAGACAGACATGATCTCTGAGGACTTGAACTAATCTCCACTAACCAAACAAAGCCTTGGACAGGACACAGCTCAACAGAACAGGGCATTGTGATATACGAATCACAACCCCGACCTCTGTGTCCCGCCTCATGTCTGCTCCTCGCAGCAAATCTTTTACATCAAAGCCAAGGTACAAGCCGTGTTTATCTTCTGTAGTCCAAAGAAGTCACCCCGATCTGCATTATTAATGTGAGACATGCCTACTTCAGCTGGGTGAGAGCGTGGTGGCGAGACCGGACGGGAGGCAGAGGTTTTCATTGTAACGTACCTCAGGGATAAGGCCTTACAGAGGGGGAGGTCTAATCCCATCGTCTTCTTAGCTGTCATCACCATCATCATACTGACCATCCCATCCTTTTCCCGCCTTCCTCCTTCTTCCCTCTTGACGCTGCATCTCGCCCTCTGTCCTCGCTGTGCCTTGCTTCGTATGTGTCAGTAAGCAAAGCGGTTTAATAGCTCAGAAAAAAAAGTAAAAAATCTTTGCCAAAGTTGATGGGAAAGTCAAGGTAGAGTCCTTTTCTAGGTTTTATTTATACTATATATTTGCATACAGTACTTTACATGCCAATTACAGTGCAATCTTCATTTATTTATTGTTTAAAGTTTAAGAGACAAGTGTAGTTATATACTAATTTTTTTCTTGTAGCATGTTTTTTTTTTTTTAATGGATGTATGTTAGATTGTATGATTAAGGCCAGCATTCCTTATCTCAGTAACCCTTTAAGTATTTCTCTTGCTCATCAGTTCATGCATTACCGTTTCAGACATGTAACCAAATGCCGATGGGTTTTTGTAACCCCTTAGTGACACATGTAGCAAGCCAGAGCTTAGTGTCACTTCAAGTTCCTTTGTATAGGGATGAATATTTCTGCATTTGGCTTTTATTTTCTGTTCTGAATAGTGTTATATTGAAGCTTCTGATATCTTATTTTACAGTTTTTAATGCCAAAGTGCAGCCTTTTTAATGATCTCTAGATATTGCAGTCGTCTCGAGGGTTCTGTGATGTTCTTCTGTAACAGCACATCATTACAACTATTATTATTGTTAGTATTGCTCTCTCAAATGGAACAAAACATTAACTTGATCTGTGATTACGCTTTTTTTTTTTTTTTACATAATGTTGTTTTTATTGTGTTTTATAAAGCTAAATTGTGCCATTTAAGAAATGTCAAGACCCCATACTTTGTAGAAATATTTTTTTAAACTGATTTCACATTTAAATTTAAAGAAAAGAAAACAGAAAAAAAAACAGTCATGACAATTTCAGGCAGATGACGATGGGTGCTGGTTATTTCACCCGTTCGCCGTTTCGTACCTTTGCATGTTTGGTTGTTTTTGACTCCACATTTTCTGTGTTAATTGGTGCCATTGAACGCACCGTCGTATCACTTGTCAACCTACAATTTAAAGGAATTTTCTATTGATTCTACTGATAGTCTTGTGGAAAGAAAAGTTATAGTCTTGGCTATAACTTCAATAAACAACATCTTTATATAAGGAAGACATTTAACTGTTTTCATTTGATCAGGGTGTCCTAACCTGTCATGTTTTCTAACAGTCAGTTGGCCAAAACCTGAGTCGCATTCAAGTTTTGATAAACGGGATTAGAGGTAACACTAAAATTTTAGATGCTACGGTGGCTCTCAAAAGTGTACAGGACCCTGTCAGACTTCCTGGGGTTTGTACTTTAGTAGTGCATCTATCAATTGAGATTCATCTGAAAAATGTGAGGGGCTAAAAACTACATATAAAGGTTGAATAACGAGGTTGCATAAGTGTGCGATTTCTTGAAATACTACAATTCTATGTCTACCAGCAAAGACACAGCATTTGCTATCAGCAAAGCAGATCCGGTATGTAGATCTTTGTCCCATTCTCCTAAATTACACCTGTGTACAATCAGGTCATTTTGATCTTTTATAAACGCTCTTCAAACCATACATCTTTGCAAAACGATGCTAATGAGCAAATAATGCAACTGAAAGCTGGTGCGAATTACATAACCGGTTTATAGCACCTTTATACCTACCTGAATAGTACAAGATATAGATTATAACCCTGTGAATATGTGCACATTTAAGAGCCACTGTAATAAAAACGTTTAATTTGTCAGACTGAAGCATTTTTGTAATGCCTTAACTTTGTAATTTACAACAACAAAACATGGGCAGATTTGCAGCAGTTTAATTAGATGGGTGCAAAAATGGTAAAATAGTTTCAGAACAGAGGCATGATTTGGCCAAAGGGGAGAACTGACCTGTGGCCTAATGTCAACAAAAGCAGTTTGATAATTCCTTTTCAGGTTAGTTGCTGGTGTTTTGGTAGAGTTTTCTTATTCTTTGTTTTCTTTTTCTTATTCTTTTTTTTTAATCCAGTGTTTTGCTAAGAGATAATATACAGAGATATCTATAGAGTTATAGAGTAAAAATGGTAAACACATTATGACTAATAAGAGTTGAAGCACTTTTTTTATGACGAGCATTTGACATGACGAGGTTACGAGTGGGAGGCAACGGATCCTTTGCTCTATTTCGAGAAAAAAAAAACCCAAACACTACTGCCAACGCTTACTGTTACGTCCATTGGCATTATCCTCCCGTTGGCATCACTGTGACATTACTGGAGCATGGCACTGCGCTCCCAGCAGAATGCAATCTACAGCACTGAGGAAAGTACACTTCATAAGGGGTACCGTGCCTTTGCCAGATATGCTCATTGTGTGTCTGCCTAGACTGTTGCATATTAATTGACTGGTCGACGTGAGTTTTCTTGTCTTTATAAACCCCCTTTAGTTTCCCTCTTTGAGCCTTAAAACCCCAGTGCAAGAGCAGAGGTGTCCTTCTGTCACCAGCAGGCCAGTTATCTTAGTATTGAACAATCTGATGATTCTGGTTTTGTATATCCCTTTATGGGCTTTATTCTTCTTTTTTTTTTTTTGTTTGGTTAGTTGGTTTGTTTTTCCAAATGCTGTTTAGCTTTTCAGAGACCCACTCACCCCACGACTCCTCCCACCCCCTGCCAGTCAGGGTAGACATTTTGTGGCTACGTCCAGAATAAGAGACGACGTTTTAGCCCAGCAACCCCACGTCTGTGCCTTCTGATCAGTTTTTATTTCTTTTTTACTTTCATTTTATATTTTTTTCAAATGTACATTTTACAGTAAGTGGAGGTTTTTGACTGAGAGATTTGGCAATTTGACAGAGACTCACAGGTATTTAACTATTTTCTGAAGCGAATACAAATAAAAGACAAAGATATTTTTACCTCACAATTTTAGAGCAAACATTCCAATGTTGTCATGGTCTATGATTTGACGCAAAGAAAAAAAGCATAAAAAAAGAAGTTCATGCATTTTTGTTTCTTGTATTGTAAATGTTAGACAATTTCATATGCATTATATAAAAAGAAACTGCCATATCAATTTTAATGTATAGATTTTTGCAAATACTACCCTATGTATGTAAGACGTAACTGTATCGGTAGCGTATATATAATATATTTATGCCCAATAAATGTTTTAATTTTTTCTGACTTGCATTGCATTTGTTTTTGTGTCCTGTTGATACTTATTCCAACTCTTACACACCATGCTTCCATGTAATGAAGTGTAGCATCTGGTGCCTTGCAAAATATCTGTACTCCCTTTTCCTAAGATTTGCCACATTAAAACCACAAAAAGGAATTGTAGCATTAGTGTGTTTCATTATGATTTCATTCAATTCAATCACATAATTAATAGGTGTGTGTCGTTTGAAGTCTACAATAAGCCGTGTCTGAATATAAAAGCACACCATAGTTTTCATTTTAGTTTATTTTTGAAAAATAAACTTACTGTGCCTTCTGAGGCCCTAACTGCTTTTTGCTGGAAGCTCCTCCTACAAGAAAAAGCTCCATTTGGTATCCAATCACAATATCAATTTACAAATAATCAAAAATATGCATTATTTACCTGAACCCAAATCTATTAACCACAACATAACCAAATTGTCTGGTTGAATGAACCTGCTTTTGTTCCCCTCTTAAAAATGATGTGACAGTCACGCACGACATGTAAAATGGAACATTCTGCAATCAGCTTCTCCATATAAAGTTATAGGTGCCTGTTGCTCTGGATTTGATGAAGCCACTTGAAGAAAACACAAAGGTAAGATGGACACAACACATCATATATGGTCATTTTTCTTTTTAAGATCAAGAAAAAAAACAATTACCCCCTTCACCGTAGAGTCTGACGCAAACCAAGCAGCACAATTCTTTATGCCGGCCAAAATGTTATGAAAATAATCACAATTTTGAAGTCATTGGTTGTCAGAGTGGGTCGCCTATGTTATGCATCTGAGCTTTCCAGCATTCAGTCCTGACATGGTCATTCTGTGTTTCTGCACTAACACTGAGAGAGATACTTCTGCTCAGCCTGAGCCAACCTGATGGTGGAGGAGTTTTAACACCTGGTATGGAGGAAATGCATTTTAGCGCCTCTAAGCGCTAAAATGCGTGTTTGTGAGTGTGGTGTATTATTCCACAGCTGCAGCTGAATTGCTGATCTTTGTTTGCACGCTGGCGCTCATCAGTCTCTAAAATGCACATTCTGGAACGCGGTGATGCTGACAATAAAAATCCTAACTCAATTCACCCCATCGTTTCGCTCACTGATGGAATGGTTTGTTTTCGTCTGTTTTGTTAGGATTCTTTATTCACGCCTATGATACATTTCTTTAAAACAGTTAATCCTATGAAATACTCTGGACACTTTCCACGCCAGTAATGGACTGAGGCGTACAGAAAGGTCCTTGACAGATTCTCCCTTTTGTTTCTGTGGGTCTGGTTGACCTCACTGCTAAATGAGGGACGCTTTAATCCGTTGTTGATGTCCGCCACTCTGTCGTAAAACCGGGACAAATGGAGGAATCATTAAAAGAATCCTATATCTCACGCCTCTAAAAAAAGCAAAGTTTCTCCATTATTTTTCTGTAAGTACAAACATTAAAGATAAAAGAAATCAGCCTTGTTTCCCTCATGTTTAATTTACCACATTTTCTTTTAATACACAGATACATTAACCAGCAGGTAGTCACATTTTTCAAAAACCAAAACGAAATAAAACTTTTTGTCTTCTTTTAATCATTATACACTTAGTACATTAATAAATATATCGTCCTGCTAACAGTATATACAATCGCAAAAATTAATTTAGCAGAAATACATTCTTTACTGCCAAGAGGCCACGTAGTAAATCCAATGCACTGCTGTCGTGATTTTAATTGCTGCACAGAACCAAGCTGTCCAAAGCATCTAATTACAAGGTAATGCATGGATAACATGATGGTTTACAGGTTGTTCATTGATGCAAAGGATGATACAACACATGGCACACGGTCCTTAATTAATCCACACTTTTTACTTTTAGTAATATTCACTTTCAAAAGCAGCAGGCATGGAATCCATGACTGCTGAACAGAGTTGTGATAAATGACAAGAGTACAACACATTTAGAAAGTTTTTTTTTCAGTTCAAATGCTTTAAAATGTAATTTATTAACAAATGTACAACTGACACACTGATGTAAAATATGAAACAGAGGATGATTTGTGATGCAATAAGCATATTTTCCAAAGGAAAGCAGACAAACCATGATTTATGCTCACTTTTTAAAGTACAAAGTTTTACTCAAAAACTAACCCTGAAGAAGTGGTGAGAAGGCAAAATTTTAATGTGTCATGAAAAAAAGCTAGAACAAACCTTAAAAGTATAAAATGAAACACATAATATCATGCATTTTTTTTACATTTTAAAAATGAACTGCAAGAAGAATTTAGATGCATCTGCACTCAGCCGGCATCACATTCAGAAAACATGTAAGAAAAAGTTAAATCTGCAACACGCTATAAGAGTGTCCAACTAACAAATCATAGAGTGAGCTTAGCTATTAGATATGAGAATGTTAATCTATACAGCAAAATCAAGCTATTTGTGGTTTTGCAGTGCAGTGAAACATATGACTAATATCTCTAGAACAGTATGTCCAGAATAATTATTTTTATAATCTAGTGAAAACAAGAAACAAGTGCCTTGTCAAATTCTTTTTTTAACCTCAGATGACCAGTGTACAGTGGAAAGGAGCCTGGAAATGGACAGGATTTGATATTTGCTTCTAATATAGGCAAAGAGAAAGTTTTACTCTATTTCAGCCAGCTGAACACCAGGAGAAAGGGCAGCAACATGCTACAAATAAAACGTTACAGACACCAGACAAAGTGCTGGTGAGATAAAAAGCCAGAACCTTTTCAAAATTAGATTGTGTCAGCTTTTGAATATGAAAGGGCTCTCATACTGGGAGGTCTCAAAAGATTTTGAAATCAGACATCACACTTTGTGAAAATCAGTCCATAAGTTGAGTCTAAGTGATGATGAAGCGAACTGTGCCCTGAAACATGGTGATGACCCAAATCACACAAGTAAATCCACCTAGAACTGTCAAGAACCCTCAGGCAGAGAGAAAACCCAGATCTCAATCTTTTTAATCCAACACAATCCTCAAAAAGAAATACCTATAATTTCCAACTTATATTTTACTGCCAAGGAAAATCCACCATGTGGGAAAGGATTAGTGCATGGCTACAAAATGGAGGAAGGGGTGAAATGACTAAGAGTGGGTAGAAAATGAGGAAACAAATTGGCACAGGGACGAACTGACCCCCGAGTCATAATCTGTCCAACCCTATAAAAAACAAAGCTTTCAATCCAAAAATGTAAAATACAATTAAAACACTGCTGTTCAGGCTCTAAAACATCAGAATACCCTTTAATGCCAGCGACCGCAACCCCTGTTTGCAGCATCAGCGTGGAAATGTGGAAATGGAGCGAAAATTCAACATGCAGGTCTTTGGAAGGATGGATAACAATGAGTCTGCCTCACTAACAGTCTGCTACACAGTTACACATGCTTGCACACAAGAAAATTCTACAGTGCTTCCTTTTGTCATCCAGAATACGATATAAGGCATTTGTAGATGTGTGTGATGTTTAGGTTTATATGTACAAAATGCTCCTCCTTTTTGTTCTCATTCAGGTAAAGAAGCATTTCCAGACGATGTGAAGGTTGTTTACACTCCACTTTCAAATGTTACGGCACTTGCTGAAAGAATCTGACATGTCGGAGAACATTTAAGAGCAAAACTGGCTTCAGTTTAAGCATCTTTTGTGGTTCATGCTCTTATTCAAGAAAGGCAAGTCTTTGGAGATTCTCCCCTCTCTGACAGAAATGATGGCTTTCAGGTTGGCTCCTTGACTCGGCTGGGCTCAAAAGCTCACAGTGGATTCTGTCCAGCCATTTGAGCCGTCGCCCTTCAAGGTGCTGGCTGTGCGGCACCGGGACGGCTGGCCGTCGGTCAGGCCGAACAGGCGCGCTGCCGCACCCCGGTACTTCCATGACATGGTGTTGTAGAGGATCGGATTTATCGCCGCGCTCAGATAGAAGAGCACGACAGACAGCAGGCTGCAGTACTCGGACAGCACGGACAGCAGCGGCGAGGGCGCGTCCAGGGAGCGGAACTGCAGGTAGCGGCCCACGTGGAAGGGCAACCAGCACAGAACGAAGGCCAACACGACCACCACTTGGAGAGAGAGAGAGAGCAAAAAGAGAAGCAATCAATGAGGATAAAAGTAACAATAACAAAAAGGGTAGCTGATATAAGACAATATTAAAATGCTAAGGATGGCATTTTGGAGTAAGAGTTTAACAAAGACAAGCGCAAGATTTTTTGCATGAATTTCTGGGTCAAAGTACTTTTGTACTAGAAAAGATAAAATGCTCAGATTTTAAAAAGCAGTTAAATTAAGAAAAATACAAAAAAAAAAAAAAAAAAAAAAATTCCGGTTCATTGACCAGATGCTGCACATGACCATGTTTTCATGTCTTCACATCTCATTTGTGTGATGGGGGACACTCGGTCCTCATTAACTGGAAAGGCGAACAAGCATTAGAAAATTGTTCGGGCACAAATGTTTGTATCTATTTTCAGAGCATGTGCTGCCCCACAGAACAAGCTGTCCTGAGCTGTGAGTCATTTCAGCCACATCTCGACTCAAATCAAGTTTCTTTTTACTTTAGTTCAAAACGTACTTTTTCCCTATCGGCCATCTATCTAATATGATTTGAAAGTTTGATAGAGGTCGTCAAAAGACGGCTTTGACCTAAACTAAACAATCTTACGTTTTTTTTAATATGTATTATTTTATATTTGAGAGCAAAAGCAACAGACCTTTTAATTAACTAATTGAAATTACATTTATGTTAGCAGGTCAACTGAAAATGTAAAACTTTAAACACTTATTCCACATAGAGCAAAATATGCTGACTTTGTGTTTTTATTAACTGTATTCAATTTGGCGCATAGAAAATGAAAACCCCAACACTCAATTTGTATGAACATTGGGATCAGCTTATGGCTCTGTTAAGAAAGCCCAAGCTTCTGTTCATTTGCAGTTTGGTTTTCTCATTTTCCTCTCAACATCCTCCAAGGTTTCTCTGCAGGATTTAGATCAGAGAGTTTCCTGGCACAGTGATACTGTGGTCATCAAGAAGGTATTGGCACCTCTTACCAGAGTGGGAAGGTGTCGAATCATTTTCTCAAATTTGGTTTCTGAGAGAATTAGAATGTTACTTAACACTGATTGAAAAAGGTTTTCAAACACAGAAGTGTCACCCTACTAAAATGTAGCTGCATGTAGCTGTTTATGTATCACTAACTGAAGGGCTGACTGAAGAGAGAGAGAGAGAGAGAAAAGGAAAAGAATCAACCAATATCAAACTAAAGGAATAATCAAAAATAAACACTTGAAACATACAGTGTAGCTATATAATATGAGCTTCACCTACTTTCCATTGAATTAGAAGAATTAATTAACTTCTCAGCGATGATCAAAGTTTCCAAGAAGTATACCACTTTTTTTGGAGGGGGAACTTGTTCTGCCCCCAGCCCATGCTGTCCTGGGTGGTGAGCCATATTGCCAATATAGTCCACAGGTAACTTTTTTTTGATTTAGTTTAATTTCTCCTTGCACCTGTAATCAGAGCAGTAAATGTAATACATCTTGAAACTTACCCAACATCTTGATGGTCTGCCTATTACTTTTGTCTCTGTGAGCCACACGGGAGCTCATGTTCGTCTCCCTGTGCCTGTGCCACAGACGACGGCCAATGAGACTGTACAGCACCGTCAGACAGAACACTGGCATGAAGAAAAACACCGAGCTCAGCCACACCATGGCCCCCATCAGGCCTGACTCAACGGCGTAGTGCGTCATCCTGCACTCCCGAGTGTCCCCAACATCCAACAGCCAGCCGGTCGTATTAATCCGGGACGTGAGGTTTAGTGGTTCCACATTGTCCCTCTCCACTCCAACCATCACAAACACGGGCCCTGCGCTACACAGGGACACCGTCCACAGGACACAGATCAGTGCGCGCACTCGCCTTTTGGTGACCAGTGCTTTGGCGCGCAGCGGGAAACAAATGGCCAGGTAGCGCTCCACCGACAGCGCGGTGATGTTCAGGATGGTGGAGTACGTGCAAGACTCGGACACGAACTGGAAAAGTTTGCAGAGCGCGTCTCCGAGGCGCCAGGGCCGGTACCTCCACATGCGGTAGAGGTCCAGCGGCATGCAGAGGAAAATGAGCAGGTCGGACACAGCCATGCTGCACAGGTAGAGGTTGGTGGTGGTGCGCATATCCCTGTACTTGCTCACCACCAGGATGGTCATGACATTCCCGGCCACTCCAACTAGAAAAAGCAGCGAGCAGGTGACGGTGATGAAAGTGAGGAGAGGGATTGAGTAGTAGTTGAGCGGAGGCGCTGGCTGGTCGGCGCTGCTCGTGGTGTTGTAGGTCTCCTCCCAGCTGCAGTTACGCGGGAGGCACTCCGAGTCATTGGGCCAGGAGGGCATGCTGCAGCGCGATTATTCACAGGACCAGGCCTCCCTGCGTTCTCTAAAGTCCCCCTGGGAGTTGGAGTCCTCACGCCCCTTAGAGGCGCTCTCCCCGCCGTTCATTGCGGAGAATGGCAGACGCGCGTAAAACCAAGAACCTGACGCGCGCTGCTGCGTAAAAGTCTGTCGGAAGGTTAAAGAAATCGCAATTATAGGATGAAACATTTATTTGAAATCGCTTTTCTTCTCAAATTATGTGGATGAGGTTAGACTCGTGGAACGCATCTGATTCTGAAAACAAATTCTTAAGTGACCTGTTACTTATGTCAAACAGGAGTCATTAAAAACACACAAGCTCCTCATTTTTAGACCACAATTGAAATTAAAACAGAAAGAAGACCAATCTAATTCTATATCGATTTTTGCTCCTTCTGTCGCACTTACAGCTACAACTTCTTCTGTTCTCCGGTGAGAACCGACATCACAACCTGGAGTCTTTCATTCCTAATGGTGGCATGAGTAGTTCACGTCATCGGGCACCGTCCAAAACAAGAAGTCGTTTTACGACTTCCATCGGGAGCAGGTGACGGTGAGTCAGACTCCGGGTCTTATGATGCGGCGGCAGCAGCGAGGAGTGACTGTCCTGGGAGGACACAGACTCAGAGTCAGCCAAACACGAACGGACAAAAAACCACCACCGTGAAAACAAATTCCACCCGACGAAGAAAACACAGCTTTATAAAACTGACAAAAATCACAGTGGGGCGACGCGTTCTCAACATCTTCAGGGGAAATGAATTTAGGGATATATGACCGATGAAAGGATTTCAGAGTGAAATAATAAAAAAGAAAAAGGTGCAAAAATAAGAGATCTAGCTCCAGTCCCGGTTGTGATGCTTTGGATGTGATGTGATGAATGCCCTGTGTGTGGAACCAGATTCCCAGTGCGCAAAAAACCCATCAGGTGAAGAGGTGCTGCTTGGGGGGAGGTGAACGGGGTGCACTGTGGCTGCAGCGACACCACCTACTGGAGTTGTCAGGGCAGTGATGCCTGGATTCATTGAAACTTTTCACACAGTGTTGCCTTTCATAGTCCACATCAGAGGAAAGAGAAGCAAAAAAAAAGAGAGAGAAAAATGTGCCTAGCAATTAGACTGGATGGAGATAATGGATGTTGTTACCTTTCTAGCATAATGACTTCAATAATTGATGCAAAAAGTGAACCCCCCTTACCCCCCTCCATCTTCTTCTTTTGCCTAAGACATCTTTTGGAAAGAAAGGGGTGGTGTGTGTGTGTGTGTGTGTTTTTTTAATTAAAGTTACATGTCAAAAATGACATGAACCAATATTATTTTAAGAAGGTGACAATGTCGTTTTTAACCTGAACCTGCTTTATTGTCATCCACAACTTTCTCCCTGATTTGTGAGCTGGATCTTTGGGTCTTCATGATGCTGTTTCAATAATGTTCTCTAGCAAACCTCTGCGGCCTTCAAGGTACAGCCGCATTCCTACTTAGATTGACAGGTTGCTTTTTCAATTATCAGACCACAAGAAGTCAAAATTTCTTGATTTTTATTTGTAATCTTTGTCCATATCATAATTATCCAGTGTGGTGATGGTTTATCAGATCAAAAGTTTGCAAGAAAATGGATACTTAATTGTAAAAGTGATAATCTACAACCAGTTCTGAAATGTATTTTTCACATGCGGATGAAATGTGTTCATCAATGGCAAACATTTTTTTAAATTCAGCTTCTATTAAATAAAAGTAATGGAAGCTGAATGAAGATGAATGAAGTAATTTAGTTATTTGGAATAATGACATGGCAGTATTACTATTTCATTAGACATTCAGTACTCAGATTGTCATTCAGCTTAAATTCAGCGTTATAATTGCAACTACAAGTTGTGAATCACGTCATAATGAGGCTGTAGCACAGAATTAATTGAAAGAAAAAATCTGCATGCTCCTTATCATTTTCATTGAATGTGCTCTACAAAAAGGGGTTTTAAAGAGTAACAACTATTAGGCACAACACGATTTAAAGCACACTAGATTAAAAATGTAATTTTTTAAAATGTTTCTGTGCTGAAGCAAAATTTTAATTTTCTATCCTGCTGAATCTAGGTCAATGGCAGCTTTAGTGCTAAGGACAATTTAGTGAGCTTGCGTAGACTTGAAATGCAAAAAGTTGTGATATTAAGGGCTGTTTTAAAACATTTTATGTGATTTCAGGAAAGAAGTAATGTATTTATGTTTTCTCAGTAACAAATGAAACAAATAACCAATTTCTGCTGGCTTTAATTCTACATCGTGTTCCAAATTATTATGCAAGTGATATTTTCTCGGATTTTCTTAAATGGTCAATGCAAATGATGGTCAGTATAATTTCAAGTCATGAACTATTACAGTATAAATCTAATTTTTCATGGGAGAACAAAGCTCCCCATGAGAACAGTATTTTCTTTGGTCTGAATCAACCACAAATCTCTTCACAGTACGATGATGAAGCTTCAGTTTTTGTTAAATATCTAATGTTTTCATATCTTACCATTTTTTTGTTATTTTGAAAAGAACAAAACAAGAAATAAAATCATGCATGTCATAAAAATTAGGTTACAACATATTTATTTGTCCAATGATCAGGTTTTATCCACGCCGCGCCAAGTATTGTTATCTCACTGGCCTTTGGGCTGAGTTTCCTACCATTATGTTTATGGCCGATGAATCATGATGCGCGTGTTCACGGGGAAGGAGAGAAAACTGGGCGGTGATAAATAAATGCAAAGAGTGAGAGACATCTGACTAATGAGCAGAGAAGCAGGCAAGTCCTCATCAGGACAGCTGTGCTTTCCACAAGATTTTCTCTTCACATCTGGTATGTACAGTTTTGTTTATGTGTGCGTGCATGCGTTTGTGTATGTGTCAACATTAAGATATGTTTGAGTTTGTTCTTTATTTGTCTGTATAAAGGTAGAGCTGACTTTAAAATTTTGCCCAGAACACATTTCAGGGGATTCTCTTCATAAAACTGGGTATAATCTTTTGTTGATATCAACAAAAGATCAACATTAGCACAGATGAAATAATGGTCAACAATGGTCAACAACGTCAACTTTAGAAATAGTCATTGTGACACCAACCAAATTTTTAGTGCGCTACTTGTCTTAGTATTTTAACGGGCCTAGATTGTGACTCCCTTCTTCTGATGTCATTATCCTTTAAAATATGTAAAAAAAAAAAAAAACAGAAATTTTATCCTGGGACTTTGGTGCAGCATTAGTGCTAAAGAAAATCTTAGCTAGCCATGTTATCTGGAAGGTGCTGTCAGGGTGTGGTAGATTGCAGGTTAAAGTCCTTGGAGGTACAAACAGGCGAGAGCCAACTGATCTCAATAGGAGCGCAACTCCACACTTTGTCCTCTAGATGGTGAAAGAGATCGATTTTGTTTTCAGGTTCACTGAGCAGCTGACAACAGATTCATGTCAATACATTTAAATATCACAGAATATTTCAGATACTTTTACAATTCAGAAAATTGGAAGATCCTATAAAAGCGACGAGTCTGAACTTTTAATACAAGAATGTTACGCTATGTAGGTCTTAACGATAATCGTAAAGGCCTACACGATTATCAGTGAAAACCTTAGAACGAACGGATGTGCAGCTTACGAGAGCATAAACCGTAAAAGGACAGTTCTAAACTAGCTTGCTTTTAATGAAATATTCAAGTATTTAGAAAAAAGTGTGGTGGAAGAAAGTGCATAAGCAACAATGGTAACTGCAGCCTCATGAGCGTTTGGAGGAAATTGACATGACATAGACCCTGGCTGGGGTCTGTGGCTGAGGTCATGGGGTACAGCTGACATATTTATTTTGTCTGAACCCGAAATAACATAAATAGCATCACACTTGAATTAAGCCGATGAAGGCATTGCCTAGTGTAGCTTCCACAATTAGTAATTTGGAGAGTCGTTTCGTCTGCTGGTGTTGGGTCACTGTGTTTTAGTCCAAAGTCAGCACAGACGTCTACAATGAAAGTTTTCAGGATTTACTACGTCTATTAAGTTTGTCTAAAGACAAACTTAATATTTATGCTGACTTTATCTTCCAGTAGAGTTTGGAATCTGCCCATGCTGCCAAAATTCCTATAAATGTTTTAATGGTCATGGTACCTAGCTGCCAGACTGTAAAATTGTCTGATCCAAACCTTGAAGAGAATCTAGGAAGCACAGGACAATCAGAGACACCAGAGCCAGACATGCAGATAATGCTAATCATTTAAATTGTGTACTGAAACAAATCTGAGTTTCCCTTTGTAGTTTGTTTAGGTAATATATTGAGGACCCAACCCTGGTCCTCAAGGCATGCCCTGCATGTCTTAGATGTCTCCCTGATGTAGCACACCACTGGGAAATGCTAAAAACATGGAGGACCAGGGTGGAAAAACACTGCTCTTTTCTGTGTTGTTATTTCTGCTTTTCCTGTTCTTGAGCCATCCCAAATTGATGCTGCCCTGAGCAGTGAGCCTTATCCCCTTTGTCAAGAATCACTGAGCTGGGTTTAAAAAAAAATTAGATGCAGTTTATTGAGAAGAACCTTTGTGTGTTTTTTGTGAGGCTGCAGGTATTTAAATGAAGCAGATTGCACATTTTTCCATTCATCATTTATCTCTTCTAAACGCTGTCATTTGAGTTGTTTTGATTTTAGGTCTCTGAAGGCTCAGTGTTCATGCATGGGAACGTTAAAGGACAGAATGCAGATAAAACCCACACGCATCAACTCAAAACACCCAACCAATGATGAGAAAATAGGCAGAGCGGGTGTCAGCGTTTGCTACCCCAGGACTCCTCCTTCCTGCTGGCGCAGGTGGCAGTGAAATCTTCTGCCCAATCAGAGAAGTCCACAGGAAGAATCGCTCCACGTGATTGGTTCATAGTTTCAGAGAGCCCTCCCTTCCTGAGGAGTTGGAGAGAGTTCGCTGTTTCTTTTTATTCTCAGCCACACTTACTGAGTTGGAGTAAAGAGGGAGCAGAGTTTGGCTGCTGCACTCAGACGTGAGTCTTTGTTTTGCCGTCCATTCAGAGGATCTA